TTAGATAATATGTCTATGGTCATACATGGTTATATATAGAATACGATTTATGATTGGCTCCTTTAAATAACACTTATAGATTGCTAACTAACTTAACGCTCGGGTATGATTTGTTTATGACACATTCCACTTCGAATTGACCATGAACGACTTTCTATGAATCTTGGCATCGTGTGAGTTCTGGTATGAAGATGTGTGGTATAGCCTCAGCCAAGATGGTACAGCACTTTATTCAGTCAACGTTTCGGCGTTACCGCCTTCGTCAGGACCTGGAAGCCAAAAAGAATTTGAGATTCATCCGACTCATGCACCATTTCAGACTTCAGTTAGCCCAAGTAAACCTACAGATAACTGAATAGGTCTCGTAAACCACAGCAAGGGAACCCACCTTAGAATAGAGGAGACGACATGTAGACCACCTTTCAAACTGCCTATTTAAACATTTTCGCAGTGGGTGGGCCCCGGNTTTGGAGAAGGTGACCTTTTGCCTTCCCTTCGTATCAGACTCGGTCAGCTCTGACGTAAGAACAGCTCTGCGCAAGTGTGGCCTTGATGACATGGTGCGGGTGGTCGAAGTTCCTCCTACCAATCTCAGGAAAAAGCTGGTTCAAAATCGTTTGTATGACCGTCTCTGCATAACCCCCCACTGTGTCATCTGCCCCAACGGGCGAGAGGGGGACTGCATGGCTTCAGGGGTGATCTATTTGATCACTTGTGAGGCCTGCGGGGACGAATACATAGGTGAGACTGGGCGGCCTTTAGTATGTAGGATCAAGGAACACCTAGCTGGTCTGAAGAATTCGAGGCCTGAAACCCCCCTCGGAGACCATCGTAGGAATCGCCACGGAGGGGTAGAGTTTGAAGTCTCAGTCAGGATTTTGATGCGGGAGCCCACGACCTCCGCGCGAAAAACTTTGGAAGCATTTTGGATCCGCGCAAAAGACCCCAAAATTAACCGGAAAGACGAATGCTTGGCCATAACTAGTGAACTCGCCCCGTTCATCGACCTGTGTGGGCTACAATTGCCACCGGCTTCAAGTCGGGGGTCAGGTCACCCGGGGCCCACCCACTGCGAAAATGTTTAAATAGGCAGTTTGAAAGGTGGTCTACATGTCGTCTCCTCTATTCTAAGGTGGGTTCCCTTGTTGTGGTTTACGAGACCTATTCAGTTATCTGTAGGTTTACTTGGGCTAACTGAAGTCTGAAATGGTGCATGAGTCGGATGAATCTCAAATTCTTTTTGGCTTCCAGGTCCTGACGAAGGCGGTAACGCCGAAACGTTGACTGAATAAAGTGCTGTACCATCTTGGCTGAGGCTATACCACACATCTTCATACCAGAACATTCCACTTCGACTAACAGTCCTTCAAGTCCGATTGGGTGGGAAAATATCTTATTTAAACTCCCCGAATACCTAGTAGTTCAGATTTCTGGATGTTTTTCCACATCATTTTGCATACTTATTATTTGCATACTTGTTATTATTCTCGTACACTTATTTACTCGCGTCTCGTATATGCTATACTTGCGTTCGACATCTATATCCATACCAGTTTTATAGTCATCACTTAATCACTGAATATGCCTCGGGTGATAACTGACATTGGTTCTTATGATTAAGAGGCGAAACGGACCAATTCTTGTTTTTCTCGTCTTCTACTTTATGTTAGCCTAAGACTTTTTGTCTCTCTCTATTGATGAAAAGCTTACATCCACCCTTTGACAGCTCGAGGCTCTTCTCATGTTGTTTACGGAAGCAATCATGTGCAACTAGTTCGTTCTTGGATTGATAACTGCTACTCCAACTAGAAAAAACGTTGAATTTCATCCTAACTCGTATACGAGCAAATTGCTTTCAGCGTGGGACGACAGCACTGCCATCGTCAACATCCTGTCGTCATAGAAGCACCGCGGCATGTCATCTATACTACTCCAGCCAGTACGGGTGTAGTGTATACAGGCACTACTGTATACCAGACTCCTGCATATCCAGCGGCACAGCCTTCCGTCTACCTACAAGCCCAGTATCCTACAGCACAAGCAACTGCTCCAGCTGTTACAACACCTCAAGCTCCACCTGAATACAAACCTTAAAATGAATTTTTGTTAAGAAGAGTTGCCATTTTCTTAGTATAATTGACAAATAAGCTATCAGAAGGGAAGAACTGACTTATAGCAGATCCGTAATCAACAGATTTAACGGCAATTGCCTTTTGGAGGCAAACTTAGTCGACTGCGCTCACGGAGAGTGGCGAAGCAGCTGAGGTGAAAGTTGATTTGTAAGATGCTAATGCCTCCCGTGCTCGTCGAAGGAGGGAATTTACAGCATTAATGTATAATAATTCTATTATCCTCCAGAGATTTCCTCACTGGATTCATTTGGCGCTGAGTTACAAACGACAGAGGCCTGCCTGTTGCAGTGATAGGAGTAGGAATGGTGCGATCCCCTCTTGATGAATTGTCCTCTGAGCAAAGATGCTTCGTTTGCAACTTAGTCAGAAACATTATAAACGTTTATTCAAGAATGAAAAAAAAGGTTGATCTTTGAAGGAATTGTTCAGTCCAGTATTGCAAGGAAGCCTCACAATCACAAAGTGAAGTCTGTGGGGCATCCTAAAGAAACGACATACACTAAGCGGTCCAGCCTTTCTTGCTGTCAATGTTTCCTGCTGATCTTACATCTCACTCTGTAACTTCCACGAGAGTACGCATATTCGAATACCTCTGCGCTCCTGAATGGACAATGGAATGCGTAGCGAATCCCAGATGAACTGATCACCGCTGATCACTTAATTTTCACCCACTTCTGATGACAATAAATTAGGCTTATACATACCTGGGGAACGTAAAATCTGGGAAACAGCTCAATAGCGCGTCACCTATGATTTATGTAGTAGGGGTGGATTGCCGCTATATACTTCTCTTTCAATCAACGGATCCAGCTCCTACATTACATAACCTCGAGCCCTGAAACGATTACATTCCCAGAGCCATCTACTGGCACCTCAACTGATAGGAAGCATTAGGCAGGGACATCTCAAAAGCCTTGTTTGGTCAGTCCGCTTCCTTTCAGAAATATGAGCTAAAATCAAATCAGTTTTCGCGCAAAATTCGCCAAAAACCTTCTTCCTGTAAACTGTTCTCACCTGTTAGGGAGTATTGCTTGTTCCGGCTCTGTATTCAGTTGAAACCATGATTCTAGCAAGGGTCCAGGATGCATTTATTGACTTTCGAAAGCGTTCTGAATTAATCTATGCCTGCATTATAAACTTCAGTCTTTTTTCTTTGAGCGAGGTATTGCTCACAAGGATTACAGGTTCTGACACCTTATCTCAAGCACCACTCATCCGATTGTCTCGAACACGCGTATGCTCAAAATGCTACATTCCAAATCACTAATTTTTGGGAAGATGGTTTCCTGGTTTCGTTTCTGGAGTAAGAAATTATATAAATTTGAATGAGTAAATAATCTGAAGAAATACGGAGTGAAATGATACTTACGATAATAATCGGAACCATTGCAAGAACGTACCAAAAGAGCGTGAACGCAAAAATGCTATAAGTGAATGGGTACTTAGGTTTCCTAAATTCTATCCCGAAAATTTGAAAGTCAAAGATGTTTTTTGATCCGAAACGCCACTAATGAGAAAAGTCGATGTAATTTTGCAAGTGGTGGAGCAAAACCGACATGCAAGCTGTCGCGAAATAGCGGAGAAACTAAACACAAAGCATACGTCATTTTGGATTTTGAAGAGAACACGTGACAAAAGGTGTGTGTTTGGATGCAACATAAGTTGACGGAAATTTAATAAACTGAATCATCATCATCCATATGTTGCTGAAACGAAACGGAATCGGTCCATTACGAGAACGAATGATTTTTGGAGATGGAAACATCCCTCCTTCAATCCATACGTAACTCTACCTAAATCGCTGAGCCCGAACGAAAGTCGATGCCCGGTAGCATATCGAAAAGAACAACGAATGGAAAAAATTTTATTTTCAACCATTTAAAAAAGCATGTTGAAGTTTTACATAAGCTCAACAGAAACATTGCCTAACGAAGCCTACATCTTCCCTAGATATTATGCCCGACACATCGGGCAAACGGCGTACTAGAACCTTGGTCGAGCTAGGCAGCAGTACGGCTGAGTTTGAGTCGTGGTGCCAAATGTCTTTTTCATGGAGGGCGGTTCATCAGGATTCACACAAGACAGCTTGAAATTTCGAGTTAGCTTACCATTAACTCACTCAGCATAAGTATATACAACTTGAATAAATAGAGAATAAATAGAAGAAGTGAGAAAAACATCCTTATACATCCTATCTCACATGTCTATCTATACATTGAGATAAAATATACGTTGAAGATACAGTTTATGATCACTTTGAGGCAACCTTTTCGAATCAAATAGCGGAAGTGTTGGCGCAGAAGAGTGCGTCGCTAGCGAAAAAAGCAGCAGAATAGGAGAGCGATCGAGAGTAGGGGTTGTACGAGACAACTATGACGGTAATGGCATGGAAGGGATGGACAAGATTTCAGTCGCTGCGGTCGTGGGAAAAGCTGGCTGCGTTCAACCAAAATTGGTGAGAATTGCCTTTCTTCGCCGATGTGGATCACGACTGGTTGTTTGATTTCCCAACATGGTTTCTCCTGTGAGTGGTGCAGCCTCTAAGACACCGTCAAAACTCGCCCACTTCTAGGACGTTTATGTTGGTCAAGCGGTTCCGAAACCCTAACTACGCCTTATATGGACCGCCTCCTTTGACCTGAGGGCCTCATATGGCACATATGGAGGTCGCAGGTTTGCCGGAGTTGGAAATCTCGGAAACCATTTTTTCGTGAACTGTATCTTTACGCGAAGCAAAGCGAAGAAGAGCAAAATATATCGAAAATGATGTACTCTCAGCTCACCTCGAATCGATTGAAAAGATTGGCAATAAATAGGAAAAGTTCCATTTTAGCCAAACCTTCGCCCAAGCACTGACGCTTTCCTATGGAAAACGGTATGAACTCGTCCACCTTAATCAGTAATCTCACAGAAGAAGGGATCGGAAAATCAGACATTATGCAATGTATTATGGTTCACGTACCTTCTTCAATTTGCCACTTTCATCAATAAACCTTGACGGATTGAAAGTGCGTGCATCGGGAAACACCTGACAAAAAAGCTCTCTGATGGTCCAAAATCAACTATAAGTCGGCAGCATCGAAGAATTTTCTTAAAATGAGCCTTGCAACCCATACATATTCACTATGGAACATGAAACCATTGAAAAAGGGTTATGTGTAACATCCCACTGATAAGTTAGCTTTTGTTGTCTGTACCTGTAGCCATTTCATTATGTATGCCTGATCAGTAGTTCATGCTATTTTCTGTGACTTACTTGTATTTCTACCCTTTCTTCATGTTACCATTGGAAAGAAACAAGTAAAAGTACCGATGTTAAGCGGTAACTTACTTCTTCATCGTAAAGAACAGTGCTGATTTGCGCGACTATTCCTGTCTTCGATGGCAAGTCGAACCCCCCAATTCGTACTGGCCGAAGTGTTTCGTGGAGTAGATTCAATGGCACTATGTTTCCGAGTCGCTGAATTTCCTGAAAACCTGGATTGCATACAAGAGAGACGAGCTTTGAATCATGACCTTTCAATGTCGAGGGCAACGCTCAAAATTCTTCGGTGCCTGCTAACATAAAAGTAGACAGGACCAAGTTTCCACTTTGTCAGAAGTTCACAGTTTGACCTATATCAAAATATTTTGATAGGATTTTCCTATGAAAGTTGTCATTCAATGGCACCGATACAGTACTCCCTGTTTGAGGTTCAGGTGCATATTGCCCCTGTGCTCCCCGGGTACGTCTTTATATTGTCCTTGAAGGAAAGCCAGGTTTCCAGAAAGATGCCAAAGCAGCTTTTCATTCTTCCTTTAGTGCATGGACATCTCGAGGAACTATTCAGTCTCGGATGGTTGAAGAATGTAAAGCGCGTCCTAGAGAAGGTCTCCTAGAGAAGGTAGAGGTTTGGAGATGCCCGCTCCAACTTGGGAAGTTAATAGAAATCGTGATGTTTGGCAAGTTCGCTCGTGAGAAAACTTCAGGAGGAAAATTTGTTAGTTCTCCATAGAGTACTTGATAATCAACCAAAATAGCGCGCAGCGCCTCTTCAAGCATTTATGCAGCTCCAAGTATTTCTTAATACTAATATATTTATCCTTTATTGTTGAAAGAGAGGAAGGACTATGTAGCTGTCGGTTGGATTGAATACCAACAAAAGTACGTACGTTTTTTTCGAGAAGAACAATACTCTTTGGACTGCGTTGACTTAGTACAGGGAGCTTTCGCAAAAAGGGGATCGAATTCGAAAAGTAGAACATTTTTGTTTGAATCGCCCCGAATACGGTTGCATTTCAGGCGTGTGCCTTCCGGAGAGCGCCTCAGCAATAAATAATAAATAGACGGATTTACTAGAATCGGTCCCGACTGGGGATAAGCCCCGGGAAGGTACAAACCCTTCAACGGGAGAGACGCAGAGGCTTTGCCAGTCCGGTAACTACACTCATCACGGCAGGCCCTGCCATCTTGTGTCTTTTGCGAGGGTTCCGATGCTGAAGGAGCAGTTCCGCTGAAGCTTCACTAAAGATACTGAGGAAACTCCCAGTGTCTTCAGAGGATAACTGTTGTTCTCTTACGGAACAACCCAGGAACGTGAACAACGCATCTGCTCAAAAAAAACCCATTCACCTGCCTTGCAAAGGAATGAAGCAACTTGATTTACAGCGATCAAAGGTGAAGAAGCCATGTTATGAGTGTTACCCACATTAACAACTGCGCAAGTGAAATGAAGGTAGTTCTTGTCAGTCATAGTTATGGCCCGAGAAGATCCGATCTCACGATCCATTTCCTCGTGCATTTTCATCTAAAAAAGAAACTTGTTACCAAGCTGATCGTATCAGTAGCAAACGAGTAACAACTGATCGAAACACATCAGCGAAAATTATAACCTGAACGTCAAGATGATTGAGAATATATACTACTCCCCACGAAAGCGTGTTAGATGTCGTCTCCATCCCAGCAATCCACAGGTCCAGGCAGACATTCTGCAGTTGAATGTGTCTGAAGAGCCTTACTTACCTAACCAATGGAATAAAACACAACTACGTTGAGCTCACACTTCCCAGCCTTTCCTCAGACTTTGTAGATATCAGTGATCAGTTCCCGTTTGGAAAAATTCGAAAGGCTAATTTAACGTTACTCATTATTTGCTACTCCGAATTCATGTTTGCTCCAATTTTCGATGCTTCTTATCTCCTCCGAGCATCACATACGATAGCTGAATTTTCATATTTCAACACACTCACATGGGGTAACGGAACTTCTCCCAGATTTCCCACGTTCGCTTTGCGGCATGCGGCGAATCTTACTGCAACTACCGTATTCGTCCCGCCTCCCCGCTAAGCGATAAGACGCAATATTTCTCGTTGGTTGCCTTTCTTTTTTATTGGTTTTGATAATTTTTTTCTGTTTCTTTTTCCTTTTTATGTTTATTAGACTTGATTGTTTGGAATGACTCCTCCTATATTACGGACTATCAAGACCGTATCAGGATTGAAGGGAGCGGCTAGCGAATTCAAATAATCAAAGGACTTCCTAACTCACAAATTGCGCAGTACAGTCTTCCATCGCAATTCTGCGATACGCGGCGGGTGCGGTGAGCTCGACGCCGTGTTCGGGGGGAAGATACCGGACCCTGCCTCCCCCTCCCCACATGGGTGTAGCTGGGAATACTCTAGAATTGAATTGCGATGCATCATCTTTGAACTGTGTAATATTTGGAATAGCACAATGCTTTCAGAGAATGCAAAACTGGATTAATCAAATGGTGCGCATATAATGAACTTGAAAATGTTATCCCACACGTCATATTTGAACCCCAGTGATTGCCTTCATTCATTTACTCGGCCCTACAAGAAATATAGCGTAATGTGGTTCACTGGTGTTGAGCGAACCTCCCAGATAGATGTACTGATGTTGGCAATCTCAGGATACATTTTCTACTTTTCTTGATTGTCAAGAAGGGAAAAGCGACTTGAACTTAATGATCTTCTGCTCAGCTGCTCATTTGTGCACTGGGGTGATGAATGCAAGACAGAAAAATTTGATTCAAATGCTGCCACGTTCAGGCAAATGCTGTACTGGCATTGGTTCCGTATTTTGCAAAACAGATCAGCTCAGTTCTCGAATTTTATAAGCACCCTCTACACTTTGATGGAACCATCCATGTGGACTTCTTTTGAACCGGAATTCCTTTAACCCATTGACGACCATGCGGCCCACATGTGGATTGCAGTTGTATTTTTTGTTTTATTCATCTACATTTCCATTTTTTTTTACAATTTTTCTTCTCAAAACATTACAACAGGCCTGAATGAAACTACATACAGTGTGGTCCTAGGGAATCTTCTAATTTTGCAATTGTAAAGGTGTTTTTTCGGAGAAGAACATTACCTTGGTGAATTCTTCGTTCCTTGAGCAGCTTCAAAAAATGAGATATTTTCAAAGGGCGGTCGTCATTAGCATTTCCAACTGCAAAGCTCGTAAAAACTCCCCGAAATGGTTTCTGGTAATGATTAATCCATTGGCGACCGCGTCTTTTACATTGTCCTTACATTAACTTCTAATTTCTCTTATAACTGTAGTTGGAAGTGAATGATTCCCAGACCACGATGCCTCAAGATTCTTTAGAAGGTTGTGAACTCAGCTGATACTTGAAAACATGAAAAAAATTCTAAGAACACTTGATAATATAAATACCACAGGAGCACGATATGGTGTGGCCCGCCGGCGAGTAAGGCGGTTGTCAATGAGTTAAGGACTTCCTACATTTCAAGAACTCAAAGGGGTCGCCAGAGTGGTTCTTCGGCCCCCTACTCTGAAACTATTACATTTCCACTGAGTCTTACTTGAATGACTCGTAGTCGCCTTCTGCTTCACGACGTTTCTGCTCCTTCAGAAACGCTGCCACGTAATCTGTCGCGATGTCACCCTCCTGATCATTCTGCTTTTGATGAGCATCGATTTGACGGTCGAAAAATGAAAAGAAAGCGTCCCGATAGAAAAATAGCCTGAACGAGATCAGTAGTAATGGTGGGTTTCTAAAAAAAATCCCATGCACTGAACCACAGTCTTGTAATATGGGTTCTTCCAGGTCTGTTACTTTTCGGAAGACTAATTATCCTTTGTCCTTACTTTTTCAGCTATATGACGCAGAGCAGTAAGAGGCATCATACAACGAAATAAAAGAGACCCATTTATAGATTGGAAATGAAACCTGACTTCTTCCATTGTCCTCGGAAGTAAGGCAGATATCTGAAGACTGGAAAAGCAAATAAAAATGCTGCCGATGGGTGCGCGAATTCCTTCAACTGGTTCGACATCATAGATTTCAACTGACGAAATTCTCCAACTGTATGCTCAAATAAAGAATATCTTAGATCAGAACTTACAATTGAGAAGGAGGGATTCGTTCGCTTCTCTACAGAATCGCACTCACCTCATCGAACCTATAGCCGAATAGAAGCTGATTTATCACCGATCCAACGCATACGTCGAAAATTTCCTGTAGAGAAAAGCTTCAAGTTGGTCGAACAAATTTTAGGCAACGAATGAGTGTGCGGTACTGAACAATAGGTAGAATGTGGAAAGGAATTTAAAAGGAAAGGAATTAGTTGAGAGCAAACTCGTGTGTAACCTGATCTTTGGGCTAACCACGACCCTTTGGCGGGCCCATTCTTGCTTTCAGCTCTAGTTCTCATTCATCGCACTCGAAGAAATAAACTTCATAAAGGTGTATTCGGTCAAACAGATGAGCAGGCGATACCGGTGCTCCTTACCAACCATACCAGAAGTCCCTTACTTCTCTAAGAATCGTAGTTCCGCGATTGGCGACTTAAGGCGGGGCCACAGTCAACTCCAACCGTACGGTAACCAGCCGATCGCCAGGAAAGCTTTGCTATGGCATCTTTCATAGTCCACGACCGGTAGCGCGATCAGTCGCGCGACCGGTCGCGCGATCGATCGCGGACTATGAAAGATGCCTATCGAAATAAGTCAATGGTAAGTGATGCTACCATTACTCAGCCATGACCAAATGGCGCCCAGTCGCTTTGGCCTTTGTGCTTAATTTGTCAACAAGGACTAGTCACCGTCAAATTTTCAGCAAAAAGTGGATCTGTAATTCCTTTATGGTTCTGAACCGATGGTGACCTCATTTCGCTTCAAAGAGTGTCTTAAGTCTACAAAGAGCCATCCTTTCATCATCAGTTATGGTAAATCTTCCTGAAAAGTTTTAACTGATTGATTACCTGAATGTGAATTCCCTGGGCTTTCATGGCACTCAGTTGTTCCGTCATCGCTTCTACTTCTCTGAGGATCTGGACAATATTGTTTTTTCATAATTATTTAAACACAGAAACACATGAAGAATTTCGTTGAGAGTTTTCTAAGAAGTAGGAACCAGTAGTAATATGCATCAAAGATTTCATCTCTGCCCGAATAGGTATCTCTTCATTCAGAAACCCTGTCTATGTCTTCTCATCAGCACTAAGCTTGGTTTAAATGTTAATGATTTGCTATTACACAAGTATGGACAACCCTACCAAACACGCTAAAAGGTGTCTGTGTGTGGTGGGTGGCGTGTGTGGTATGTGTGTGTGCCGGTGCGCGTGTGTCGTGTGTGTGCGTGTGTCTGTGTGTGTATGTGTGGGCTAAATAATAAATATGTGTGGGCTAATTGATGCTCAATTCCAAATTACTGTCACCAGACAACGCGGCAATTGATTCAGAGGAAAGTGTGAAGCAGTTTCGATCAAAAGAAAGTCCGTCTTGAGCCGCAAACAACCGTCACTTACGGAAGCATGGAATCATGTCACAGATAATCAGCGAAGCCGTGAGAGACAAGCAATTGATAAAGAAACACAAAAAACAGCTGCAAACCCACAAACCCGTTGTTCCATAACATTAGTGCTGAGGCCAAGATCCTTCAGCACATGCAGAGCGAATCGCCTGTGTTCGCGCCACATATCCCCAGTAGAGTCCAACACACCGTATCTTCCACCTGTACTATTTCGAGAGTCAATATTTACCGTTATTTATAGAGAAAATAGGAGACAAGGGTGAAAATGGAACACACTTGACGGGTTAAAGAACCCCACGTGCGATTTTAGATGAAGTAAACCCCAACATTTATTGGAATCACATCATTAGTAAAACTTGGCGGAATGTCGGCAAATACCTTGATGGCTAATGTTTCGGCAAATTTTTTCGGAGACTGAAGAATAGAATCAACCTAGGTACGTAGTTCCTACCGACCATGTGAACACTTTACCCCCCTGATCGCCACGCCTGAGCGGGCCTCGCGACCGATGGTAAGTTCGGCCATCTAAGGTTCCAAGCCCAAGGCTAAAAGGTAACCTAACACGGGCCCACGTGATTGCCATGCATCCCCTTCCGGTTTATTTTTGGGTCCGTCACCAGGATCTAGGATGCCTTCAGAACCTTTTTCGTGTCCATTTGTGCTTCATGCGCCAAGGCCTCGACTGCGACCCTAAAATCACCCCAAAATTTGGTATCGCATCCCATGGTACCCTGCGGCAGTTGACAGCACGACCAAGCCTTCCTATATGAAGTTCTCCAATCCGAGCATAAGATGGTCGATCTCATCTGTCACGCCTATACATTCCTCATCATAGCTCTGGTAAATAACCAGCGACGTGCAATTTATCTAGACAAGGAGAGATCACACGGGTAGATGTTACACATGTGCGGTCGCAGGAACGGTTACAAACCAGGCGCTTCAAGTTGTCGGTGGGAATTTTCACGTCACCAGCAACCATTTCTAGGCGGGTTCTCTCATATAGACCCTCACTTCCCGACGAATCGACAAATCCCGTTGTAGTTCCTGCGGAATAATGTTCGTAGCATTTACCTCGGTAATCCTTCGTGACTTCGTCGATGGTGAATTTTCCAGCATAAGCATCGCCATCCTTCACAAATGTCTCTCTCATTGTTTTGTAGTCCGCCACAACGACGAACGGCAAAATACCTAAACAATTCTTAATCTTGGGTTATTCAGGGAATAATGTACTGAGGGAATGGAATAAGATTTAAAAAGTAAATCACCGATCCAGTATGTGTAAACTGGACCATATTGTTTCCGCCACATCTCAAACGCATCATATCCGGGCTCGTGTGCAAGGATTGTGTGGAGATTGCCCAGTAGTGGAAGGGGTGTTGGACCTAAGAAGAATGATCATTTCTCAATGAAATTTATTATTGAATGATAATTTGTGGAGTACTTTTCCCGGCGTCTTGAAGGAGAACTGTCTAATCCACTTCACTATTATATATCGTGTAAGTAGCAACTAATGATGCTAGACACACCACAATAAACATCTCATAGCACTTTCATGTTGTTATGAAAAAATAACAAAAAAAGAAAAATATCATAAAGAAAAGAGCAATCAAGTTGTTAGCCACGTGGTACAAATGATCTGGGAAAAATTAGTAATGTCTGGGAATAACAATTTCCCATGGTAAATGGGGTATATGGGGCATGTAAGAAAAGGAAGGGGTGCATGTAATGGGACGAAAGAGCCTACAGTCACGGCGACTGCTTCAACTCCCAGTGGACACTGAACCCGTTATCTGAACACCGGTGCAGTTATTAAAGAAAAGAAAGTGCGATACATCGGAACACCGATGGGAGATCTCTACTGTAACCAATCGGTTCAGATCTACCGATGAAAAGGATACCAATGAGTAAAGATTGCATCGACAGGAAAAAACATGCGGAGATGCTTCTATAAAAGGGAATCCGTGAAAATCCAAAAAAAGGAGAGCTGCGCATTTGACGGAAGTGCTGTATCCAGGTATGTCAGCCGGTCAGGAGTCCGATTTGACCATCAGGCAGAGAATTGACTTCTGACAAGAAGCCACAGGAGCACTCGTGCATTGCCCATCTCATAAGAACTCCCACTATTCCGCCGGTTTTATTGATCTAAACTTTGGCTCACCCAAAATAGTGTTTCGACCTTACATTCTCTAACTACAACTATCTCGGCTCAGCTCAAATCTGCCTAGTTAGCAAAATCTCGGAGTTTTTTATTGGCGAGAGATCACTTGATAAGTACTATACGATGAAATCATAGAATTTTCCCGAGAACATCCACAGAAGATGGAGCGAGGAATCAGAGAAAACGATACGAGCCATATTGACCTAATCGAAAAGTATATGCCGAAAAAATCGCATTAGTCCGTCTTTCCTGGATATTAAGGAAGTTTCCATGGAATTGCTATGTAATGGCACTAAACTATTGTAAGAGCATTTTAAAGGTGTTCTTATAGTATTATCTAGCATTCCTTTGTTTCCTGCGTGTTGTACTCTCCTTTCTCGGAAAGTTACAATTGGAGCAAGTGCTAGTAACCATTTCGCCAAATAAGGGATCTCTGAGTAGAGCGTCTCGTCTGAAGAGTATGGCATGATATCAACGCGAAATGTGTTTGTTTGCCTCAGGCTGGACAAACAAAACAAATCTGGATTATCCAAAATTATCGTGAACTGTAGAAGTCGTATGGAATGGAAAACTAACAAACAATGAATCTCACGCACCAGCTGATTTTTTACGTTGTTAAGAAGTATGCAGAAATTTTTGCATGACTTTTCGCAAGTCAGTGCTTCTCTCTTCCCAGATGCGTCTGGTCCCAATCAGTCGACCGCGGACGGGAGGAAGGCTTAACTACCAATGAAGGATTCGAACTCGTGACCATGTATGTGTGATAGTGCACCACTTGCCACTGCGCCACCTCCACCTCAGTATGCATCCCTTGTGATTATTGCAAAAAACCTTTTATTGGAGAACCTTCCTGAATCGGCGAGCTATATTGAACTCAGCGACTGTCTTGAGACGCAAAGCGAGGGGTGATCAAGGAAAGCGCACTCACCCGGTGGAAAATTTCGTCGTTTCCAGTAGAAGTGGTAGAGTAGAAACAGAAGTAGAAAAGCAATGAAGTAAATCATAGTTCTCTGAAAAAGAAGACATAGCCTATAATGGCTGTGGCGCCTAAAATTCGCCACAAGTAACACGTGCTTTACTATTAGAAACGATATCTCGGAACAGGTTACTGGCACTTTCACGTTCACGATCATGCTATCGATTACCAAAAGATTGATGAAGAGAACGAAACCACGTATCAGGCATCTTTTTCACCTTGACAAAGCAGAATGACTTCTTTTGAGCTTGATTTTCTCCTTTATTTTCCTACTCATTCTTCACTTCAGAATTTTCTTATCACTTAATATCAAACACGCTATTGACCACAAGTTCTTGTCTCTGAAGCTTTCACTCTTTAGGAAATCTTCGTAGCCGACTTGAATCGTTTCAGTATTGCAACCAGCTTGTCCTTGGGCAAAAATGGCTAAAACTAGTGACGCTCTGGCCACAGATCAGGACACCTCCCCATTCACCAAGGTCCACTCACTTCGATAGTATTTCGCCACCTATCCACGAATGTAGGGTAAGTGAAGAGATATTACTTCCGAAGATATCCGACTGAGGAAGGAGGATCCTGAAACTGTGTTCTCCCAGGCTCCATCCGTTTTTTTCATGGTCAAGTGTGGGCCACGGAACTGATGATATTGAGGTCACATCCGAAGGGCAAACATGGCCCAGAATAGAGTTAGGATTTTTGTGGAAGTGTAAGAGGCGGGCTCATATTGAGGAAGAAACGAATATTTGGGAAGAGATGGTATCGCGATATAATATCATAATCATCATATGCAGAATAACCGTATTCTAACAATGTCAGTCAGGACGCGTGAGATATGCGGGCTCCATCAGGAATGTATTCCTTCTAAAAAGATATTCAGTGTTCTCAGAGTATCTTTTGCCAATATGTACCTACTAGTACGTGCCTCTTAACATTTCGTCGTTGTGTATGTGTAACGCTTGCGTTCACCCCTTCACTACGTAGTTTGCTCTCACCCATCTTGCCTTTGCAGACTTCAGTGAGGCACGACCGTTGAAGGCACAGTTCACGATAATTCAATGGGCGGGAACGTCAATGATTTTCCCGCTTCTCGATCGATGTCACGTCATCACGTCAGACGAGTGTCGAGACAGTACAGATTGCAACTATTCTTTCTAGGACCCACACACAATCAGCTGGTCGCCGAGTGTTGAGGCGGTATTTTTCTCCCATTCTTTTTTCCTCTGCTATTCTTTTTGTTGCCGCGATCCCCTATTAATTTTCTTCTCCTAGAGGCTGCTGAAAAAGGTGCGTACACACTTACTAGGGTTTTTTGTTTACTTATGCTTATAAGTGAATGAATTTTTGCTTATCATAGTGTGCTATCCGCAGCAGGACCCACATGTACGTAGTGAGGCACATTGCATAGCTCGTCCAAACGCCCCACTTTTCATTTTCCTGGTCTCATTCTCGTTTTTTAACGATTTTTCAGAGCCTTTTTTCACTTTGGAAACACCGATTCACACAGTTCCTCCACCTTCATCGCACTATTTTCGACTTTGATGAACTGTGCCTTTAAGCAACAAACAGAACCTGTGCAGGTACCACCTACCCTCCCGGCTTAACTGCACGGGTAGTTCATGAAAAACTCGTGAATGTCTAAGGCTAAGAGGACACATGTTTCATGGCTCATGTAAAATCTGATCGGATCTGTGGCGACTTACTCGCCAGACCCTTGCATACTTTTGAGAGGGGATTATCTCGCCATAGCGGACGATACGATCTGAGGATTGGCAATGTGTGAAGGGGCCTAGAATAGGTTCATTAGGAAGCCGGAATACGAGGCAGAAAGGGGAGAAAAGAAGATCTTCGACCCAGCTACTGCCCGCTAGCAGTCTGTTCCCAAATCACCAAGCACCATCCATTAGACTTGAAGCACGGTCTGTAGATCATTCTATATTGTGCAAGGAGCTCTGAGGAACTTCGAGGTGAATTCAGGCGATGATGCGGCGAGGATTTGGAACAATGAAGTCCAAAGAACCGTAAAACAGAAGAAGAATGCATACATGCGTTAGCCAGAGATGAAAACTCTAGAAGGCCTAGTTCTCTACAGGATTTCCAAGAGGCTAGCTAAAGCTGCCGTAACAAAAGCAAAGGATGTGGGACTGAACCCATTTTGTACGAGAAAAGAAGTGCGAAATTCAATAAGCAGACTGAGGTCAGATGGGCAGAATACTTCGAAAAGCTCCTGAACGAAGAATTCCTCTGTAACACAGCTCTCATGATGAAGTAACAGCTAGTCCCACTCCAGGGCAGACACAAAATGAGGTTAGACGAACAATAGGGAGAGTGAAACTTTGGAAAGCGGATGGTCAGATAATGTACCAATTGATCCATGGAGGGACTCCGGATAGGGTAGCTCACTTGGTGAACATTGCTGCTGCTGAAGGAAGTGTGTCAGGTGAGCTGAGGAGCAGTACCATCCTTTCAATGTTATAACTGAAGGGGTGCGGGTAGAGTATTTCGATATCCTGGGAATAGGTGAGCACACCAGGAACTGTGGGAGCGATTAGTAAACTCGAGATTGAGGCAACTTGCTCCGAAGGCAGTTTAGCCGTATGCTCAAAATGATTGTAACGAACTTTATCTAAATAGCTAGAATAGGTGGCGGAAAAGTATCGAGAAGAGCTGAATCTGCTGTCTGGCCTTCCTGGAAAGGCTTTCGACTGCCTACCGCAACCATCCGCTGAAGAGCGTTCCACTAACGAAGCCTGATGTTCCGAAACACCTGAATTCTTGGCCAAAGATATGTACAATATGCGAAAGACCTTCAACCCTCACGGCTTAATAAAAATGGTAGACGTCTCTGTAGAGTTTTCAACATCAGTAGACGTCACGTTTCGGGTACACCAATGATCAGGTCCAATTCACTATCTTCCCACAAACACTAAATGTCACCACAGAAGAACTTACAAGGGAACCACTGAAGAACATCCTCTACGCTGAGGGCTTTGCTCTGATGGCGGAAAGTAGGGAGAACCCTAAAACAAGCTGCAGAAATGCCTTGGCGGACTGACGAAAAATAGGCCCAAAGAGGACCAAGCTACTCAGCTCAGAGTAGCGCGCAGAGCCAATGGTGGACCCGCTACGAGGATGTCGACGGAAAGTACAGAACCTCTAATATCTGAAGAGTGAGCAGGTCGCTGGAAATACCTGACCAAGCGAGGTATCACAAAAGGCAACTTCATTACGCACATATGATGATGTTGTGATAGTCCTACGGTTAGACCTGGTCAGAAACGAGAATATCGGGGCGTGCCATGAATAGCCTCTGTCCAGCTGAAGATGAGAGAGGCACTTGCTAAAAACTACGGGTTCAAGGTAAAAGTGAAGCAACGGATCTTAAAACTGAGGAAGATCCGAAGATACATTTTGTTCACTGAGGCTAGGGTTGAGGGAGAGGATGCTGTATCTAGACGAAAATGGTCCCAAAAAGAGTAAGGTCGGATCTTGAAGCAGATTCCAAGTGCTGGCCTTTATCAACTCACAAACCCTCACAAAGTTCTCCAAAGTGAGCCCCTTCAATATGCAGCCGAGCAGGTAGTGTAAGTCGGATAAAAAAAGAAGGCAAAAGAAACAATGATGGGCACTCAAATGATAAAGAAACATGACGATAAAATACAAGATAAAATGTAATTAAATATAGCGATAAGATAAAATGTGGGAAGAAGGCCAGAAAAATTCGGAAAATTTTGCAGAGCTCATTGCTTTATAAGATGTGTTTAGCCCGGGCATACACGACCAAAGTTCAGCCGTGTTAGCAAATTTGCATTGAGTGGTGGCTGCTGAGGTTGAGCTAACTTTCGTGGTGCGTGTACCGATCAATATAAACATCTAGCGAGCTGTAATCAGCTGCAGTAAAATCACAAAACGCCATCCGACTACTTGACAGAGATCAAATAAAGAAGAAATACTACGAGATGGAGAGGGGGAGTGAAGTGATTGAAGGGACTTGGCTTTTGGAAGGATGAGCTTGGGTAGGATGCAATTAGGCAAGCGAAGCCTTGAAAGCTTATTAGGCAGAAAAGCCAATACCGGCTTACAAAGAGGGCCTAGCCAGTGGTCGGTCCAATGACACCTGAATACCCTCTCATTCAGCTTTACGATTTGAAACGGAAATCAAGCTTACGACTTATCCAAATGGATTCAATGCTTCGATTTCTGCCAATTTCGGAATAAATCTGCCATAGTGATAGTTAATTACCGTACAGCGTTTTTATCGGCACTGCTGGTGTCGAGATAAGAATGACGAATGAGGGCAAACCATAGAACCCCCACGTGGGGGCGGCGATTGATAGGAAACTAGCTCGACACAGACGCTTAATGGAAGTCCTCCCACTCAAGGAGAGCATCTCATAAAAAGTTCATTGGGAAAAAATATTAGAAATGGTCTCTCAAGATTCGCCCATGTTCGACGTGTAGTCAACATAACTCAGGAATTGTACAGTGGTTTCTTTTGTGCGCTCTGCTGCCTCAACCACGCAACTTCCTCCTCTTTGATACGATTTCCTTAAACCACCCAGCTCTTCCGACTATCAGGCTTATCACAGAAGCGCTTTTCCCGCTCCAAACGCTTTTTTACTAGCTCAGTTCCATGAATGTGCTCACCACTAACCACTCTGACGGGTAAACGGCATATGGAAATCTCATCACAGCTATTCCGTCAGGCGTTTGGAGGTCATCCCCCATGCGGGCGCATCGTATATGCCGCTGGTCTCGTTGCGTGTTGAACACTACTACTCTGCTCATTGAAAATTCCAACAGCTGTTCCCTCCATTGACTGCCTTGACTTACATTAACAAGGAAGAATATTTGACGCAAGAATCATAGGGACCGCAAAGGTGCAATGATTTACAAGAATAAACGTTAGTCTCTACAAAGCTCTGGAATATTTCGAATACATTATGATATCATGGCTTGCCATACAAAATGAATTCATTCACTTACCTTAACATCTCGTAGCGTAGCAACTAGAGGCCGCGTTACGGCTACTCCACGAATTCTTCAAGTGGACATACTTTCAACAATCAACACCGCAGGCCCCTATAGGAAAGCACGAATCTTTTACATAATGCTGTTTCTAGTGTGTCCTTAAAGATTTCAAAGGCTCCGAAGTGGAGCCGAACGCTTAGCGGATCGCTAGTAGCAGTTCAGTTTACTCCATATCTTGATCTCAATCTTTATGGAGGAGCAATAGTTACTGAAGTTGTTTTGCAACTCAAAGATGCTGCAGTACAAAAACCCATGCCGAAAGCTCTACTTAGAATGGCTTTCGGCTTTTGTTCTCAGGAGCTTGCCCATCACCTCCTTTTTGTGCACCCCATATGTAGCGTGTTCTTACTGATCGTCTGCTTTTCCTGTATTGCTGTGTGAGTTTAGCTACTCTCTCATGAAGGCCGAGGTTTATTACGATTGAATCATGTAGTTATCATGACGAGTACTTGCTCACATTCTTCCGTTCTTCTGCCGTGGGGATATAGCTCAGTGGTAGAGCGCTCCCTTAGCATGGGAGAGGTCTGGGGTTCAATTCCCCATATCTCCAGATGTTTTGCATTTCATTGCTAGGTACCCGTGCAACACCGGATTTTTGTTGAAGATACCGCCTTGGTCAAATACCCATGATATTTCACGATTGCATGACAACTTCCCTTCAATCTCGGTTTACGCTGGTTACGAACATTCCCACAAGCCACCTTTGTCTGAGATTATGCACTCCTAAGAGAGTTTTCAAGTGATTTATTAAACAATAATGATAACAACAGCGCACTACTAAGCCATTTTAAATTTTTTGGCAAGAATATCGTCAGCATTGTACATCCTAGGACCTGCATCAATAGTTACCGCGTCCTGTGGTGACACTGGCGTAATTGGGTGAGCGTAGCGACATTTCGCACCACGTTTACATTGTCCTCGTGCAAACGCCCTGTAAGTGATGAATAATGAACATTGAAAGCAATCTCATAGATTTTAGGTGCTTTGGAGTACTGACTTCGTCAGCACAAAGATATACAGTATTCCGATGCATTTTCAGATGGTCAGCCAAAACGTTGACAATATTTCAAACACATCTGGAAATTTTTTTTGACTAAAGGGTCGAGACTTAGAACTAATTACCAGCAGAATTTCCATATCCATAGGGCGTGTCAGTTTTTCCAAATGAGAAGCGAAATCAGAATGTATAAGGTTCCTCCATTATTTCTAAACTAGGTACCAATTTTCCCTTGGGTAATATCAGAACTCGGTGAAATAGTCTGCAAGAGCTCATAGCATCCGACGAAAAGCATTTATGGAGCAGGCACGACGATGGCGTGACGACGATGGCGACTGTTGTACTGTGCAAGACTTGGAAGATCCTTTCCAAAACTCCACGACCATTAGCGATTTTTAACTATGTCTTCACTTCTCTTCTCTTCACATCTTCACTACTTCACACTTCAGATCTTTTCTATGTCCCCATTTGCTAGTATCTGAGTGTTTTCTGAAGTGGGATCCGGAAGCCCATTCGCGCATTTCCTTTATCGAATTAACTCTCGACGTAGCTAATGGAAATCAACGACACGGAACGAGCAGGGACTTCTTTCGGAGAGATCACAAAGAACCCTAACGATATGCTTGACCTGGTTTGCCACAATCTTAGCGGTTCAGACTAGATGGTGTTGTTGTCAATTGTTCATCTCTATTCACTTCTTAAGATAACATTGAAGAGGAAATACATTATTCACTTCTTAAGATAACATTGAAGGGGAAATTCAAGCAGTACTCCTCCCAAACCTCGAGGCTTCATTTGACCCTTTATTTTTTAGTGGTGACCCCTTTTGTAACGTACGATTGTACAATTAAATGGAAGAAACCCCATTAAAAATATTTATGACTTTTATTGTCAAAACTAAGCACTTTACTGGACAAAACAATCAGCAGAGAGTCAACCTGCTGAGTTGGCTAGCCAGTATGGAAATTAGTCACAGGAGGAACGCATAACTTGCGAATTTACTTTCGCAAGCAACAAACTTGGCGCGTACATGTGTTCTGACAACCTTTGGACTCAGTTGTTCATCTCTATTCACTTCTTAAGATAACATTGAAGAGGAAATACAGTAACAGTATAGTCTTACCGACACAAGGGCTTCTTTTCTTTTTCCACTTTCTCGGTCAGGGGGACATGTTGGCTTAAGGTCAGAACGTGAGCAAGATTTTCACGTTCACGTTCGCTTGAAAACACGCTGGAACCCTGAAACATTGAGGAAAAACAAGAATGTCACCATGAGAAAACTCTAACTACGCTATGTTCTATGTATAAGGCATATCACAGAAATAAATAGTAGAAGTAAAACGTCTCTCACCACGTGTTTTCCTTTTAGCACCGAGCCTGCGCTTGGAAGCCGGCGAACGGCTCCTAAAAGATACAACTCAAGTTCAGGACACAGTAAACGAATGTTGTGAATCATTAGTTCGAGAAGTCAGAAATACTCAAGAACGGATCAGTAAAAAGAAAAAAAGGAATGAAGGCTGCACAACTAAAAATCTCTAATAAGTCCAGGTCCAGTCTAATAAGTAAACATATGTATGAGCGCTAAGTAGAAAAAAATGCTAACAGAAGTAGAAAGTGAACGAGCTACACTGCAATCTGATATGAGACCCCTCGGTGGCAGCACGCAGGGTCAACAGTATCTTCTCATAGACCGATTCTCCGAAGACTGGTGATAAGTTTTATCTTGCGAATGATATCGTGAACAGAGAAGAAAGTGATTTCTCATTGGTTCTCTAAAATTCAATGTATAGTAATGGAGTTGCTGATTGCTCTTCACTGGAAATCGCTGCTATCCTAAAGACAGCATGACAGCATGATGCATTGGGACCCAGGTATTCTGAACTTATCACAAAAAGGAGAGAAGCTTTGCATTACTCGGACTTAATCTAGTTATGCATAAAGCTGACTTGGTATGCTGCCTTGTTGTCGATCTGTCGGTCTGTCAATCTGTCTGTCCCTCCGCAAAAATTTCTATTGTGAAAAGTGAAAAGTTCGTGCTATGGAAAACCTGCAAAAACCTGCGGATAACGCTTACGAGGAGTTCAGAAGTTACACTGATAGCTAGCGCTTAAGCAGCATGGTTCATAGCAAAATGTACTCTTTGATTCTGCGATTCCGCCCAATCGTTAGTGATCATTTTCGGTTCCTGACATGATTGATTGAATGAACATTATTAAGCCTTGTTTCTACAACAGATCAACTCATGCATTGTTAAGTGCAATGCAGTGGGAACTCTGAACTAGGTTATCAAGGGATGGCTAAAGGAAGAATTTCAGCATTACAAAGTTAGTCGATACTAAGAATAACAAACGACTTTGTATCTTTCTTACTATAAGCACTACGAGCAGCGAATCAAAAGCATAAGCACATGGTGTTACGTAAATCATATCTGTAAAAATGCTTTAAGCAACCTTGTTCGCTCATCTGATTTCTGAACGTGTTTGACAGCGGATTTTTAGCCTCTGTAGTAGAACAACGGTCCGCTACAGACATTGAAATAACACACACTCACATGATACCACACACCCAGTCCTACAGTGCAAAATCTATGATCACTACAAGGTCAATGTCACGGCAAAAATCGGACATGTGACGACTTTTCATTTTAGTCTCCTCTGTACATGGGCGGTAATGACTAGAAGAGAAAAACTCTGGATGAATAGTACTTTCGAAATGAAAGCAGCCAGTGTAAGCCTTCAAACTTGTACAAAAAACAGACATACCAACTGATGGTTAGCGAAATCCCAGATTATCCCTGAGAAATGTACGATTTACTTTCTCTTAATCAGTAATGAAAAGAACAATGACTCCACTTTACCTGAAGAAGACTCGGACTTGAAATTGTCACTTTTCGATGGCCCTTCCGAATCGTCATCGCTGCCATTATCCTCGTCTCCCCCGAATAGGCACGATTTTATCTGAAAGCATCACCTTATCGATCTACATGTAGTGTAGCGCCTTAGCATAATGAATTCCTCAAATAAGGCTAACTAAAGTATTCATGTCATTCTTATACGAGTGAAACGATACAATAGGCCGTTCAGAAAAAAATTGCGGCAAAACACTCAGTACAATTCTTTGATTGAAAATGCAATTGAATTAAGATTACTGAAACACAACTTACCAATTTGTCCGATGATTGTGGCACCTCAATATCGGAGCCATGAGTGGAATCTTCACCTTTGGAATTATCATTGTCATCATCGTTAGAATCGCTGTCGCTTGTGTATGAAGAAATTAAGTTCAACGCCATTTTGTGAAGGAAGAGAACGATGCCGAGTAACGTGCGTAACCAAACCTGCTTAAAGTGCAGTCTGCAGTATCTCGTACGATAAGTGTCAACGCGATTTTACACGATTTCCGATGGTAATTAGAAAAAGAAACGCGTCTTCGGGTAGGTTAGGGTTGGCAGAAAGCTGTCATGGAGGCTAATGTTGCAAACGGAGGTGCTAAGGGAGTTGGGGGGGGGNAGGGTCAACAGTATCTTCTCATAGACCGATTCTCCGAATACTGGTGATAAGTTTTATCTTGCGAATGATATCGTGATCAGAGAAGAAAGTGATTTCTCATTGGTTCCCTAAAATTCAATGTATAGTAATGGAGTTGCTGATTGCTNTAGCTCTTTTATGTTATAACTGCGTATTTCTCACCTAATTTTAATAAGGGGAGGGGCTCCGAGGTGGGTGAGCCAATTGGACGTTCAGCTTTTATCTCATCTCAGCTTTTTGCACGAGATAACAATCTCACCCACCCCGGAGCCCCTCCCCTTCTTGAAAATAGGGTTTTATCGGCTCAGAAGAAGAGTATTCATAATATGCAAGCATATAACATGTGCCAAGAGGTTATTTGTTTTGAATCACGAAGCACTTCAGTACAACCTCACCATCCCTTCCCAGACTCAGGCCCAGTACTACTATCTCACCGGGGAGGGTGCAGACATGTTAAGGCGCCGCGCCGCCGCGTGGCCCCTCCCAACTCACTTAGCACCCAAACGGATACTTGTCGATCGACAAATCAAATCAGATTTTGGGTGAAAATGTAGTTGGGGGGTACCAGCGCCTTCCCGTCTAGTTGCTCTGCGTCTCTAACCCAGGCGGCAGAGTACCCAGAGACCGCACTGGAGCACGAACATGGCTTCTTAATAGTGATAGGGAATCTAATTTTTAACAAGGAGAGGAGCTCCGGGGTTTGTGAGAAGTAAACGTAGTGCAAGGACAACAGAAATTTGTGATAAAGTAGAAAAGAATGGGTTCAACTTGAGGAGTTTGACTGCGCTAAGTAGATTGCGCACCGTGGACGCACCGCACACGTCGAGTAAAGTTATTATTGATGGGCTATTCTGAACCATTTCAACTTTTTGCACAACGTTTACTTTTCACCCACCCCGGAGCTCCTCCCCTTGTTATAGAATACCCCTATCACTGTTAAGAGTCCATATCCGCGCTCCAGTGCGGGCTCTAGGAACTCTGCCGCCTGGGTCAGAGACGCAGAGCAACTAGACGGAAGGGCGCTGGCACCCCCCAACTACATTTTCACCCAGATTTTGAAGTCCCGTGAGCTCGTGATTCAGTATCTCCCCTTTGTTAGTGGGTAACACAATCACGTTACTTTCAAAACGTCTTCTTCTTCGGAAGACGTGAAGTGTCCTTTCTGGCAGTTCAGAAATCTCAAAGTGATGATGTGATAGTAATTAGAAGCATTTTTTTATTATTTCAAATAACCAGTTCACATGTGCAAATGGCAATTAACGAGCAAAAAGAATTGTAGAAATACAGAGATCGGTCCTTTTTCTTTGAGCAACATTGTATGATTTAAATCTTTTGGTAAAGCTTCCTAATGAAGCTTCCTAGTCATATCAAAAAGAACATCGATAAAATTATACATGAAGCCATCTCGTACACGGTCAGTGCATCACTCTATGCCTTCTGTATTCTGCATCAAAGAAAATAACTATCCGACAGAGGCATTAGACAAGTTCCGTCACAGATATTTCTTTCGAAGTTGCGATACTTCATCATTTTCTGGTGGCTTTAATAAATCACCCTCCATGTAGTGCTTCGCGAACAGTCGCCCCTTCCGTCGCGGTGGTTCCAGTGGTGGAGAGACCAAACATTTCTGTGCCAATATTAGACCAACGATTGTCACAGCTGCAAGGAAAAAGAATCATTCACAGAAGTCTTCAATCGATTCATCTCACACAACATTCCCGTAAGAACTCAAATAGTCTCACCCAGATACCCTTCTCGAGGACAGTGCGTGGGTAGTTCGTCTTTGTCTTTTTCGCTAGGGGTCAAATTCCACAGGGAATTACAGCTTGTGCAAATGTTCTAGATGCTTACATTAAACATGACGTAAAGTAGCTCGTAGCGCAGTAAAATCTTTTTTGGGGCAAATGGATGTCCACGGCTTCGGCTTCCATAGACCGCCATTCCCATATGAATGAAGTCTCTTCCTTAACCACTTAAGCTAGTGGGAACTACAAAGACGATCTGACCGCAAAGAGCTGAAAGTCTTGACCCGTTTTTGACGATGGAGAGCTCGATTCCCGAAACTTAAGTCTGCTATAGGCGTTACTTAGCCCTTTTCTAACCCCGCTATCGCGGTGAACTTTCATGGCAATTTTCGTAAAGGTCCATCCCATATCCTCATAATCATCACCTGCCACGAAAGGCAGATAAACGAATGGGTTTCTATGTTTCTCATGCTGGGACAGTGCATTGTTCTCCTTCTATTCATACCTAATTGTTAGCATATGAACTGCCATACCTTGTACAGCCATCCTTGCAATATTTGGCACAGCAGCAATCATCGACTCATAATAATAAATTTCTGTTGCCATGCTCAGCGAGTACATAGCGGTCATCGCAAGGTGGCAAACATGTAATGGCCATGAGTCGAAGTATTTAAGTAGAAATAACCTGAATGTACTATCGATTTCTCATTTGAGCTATTGAATTACAGTGTTAATGGTCCTAACCGTCTGCGACAGACTGCAGTATCGCAGTGTATATAGTCTTCGACTCTTCGATAAAGTAAAAAGAAATCCTTGATGGGAAAGTCAGTTGCTAGTTTCAGATGGTACTCATATATCATGAATTTTTTCATACTATGAATTCTGATGTAACATTTTGCCAAGGGATTAAGTATTAATGGTTATGTCATCTCTTACTTCATGATAGTGTTGAGGTAATCAAAGTAACGTGTCACTATATTAGAAATTTGCAGTTCCACTGAAGTGAGATCATGTCTTCCCGACGTAACAAAACGACAGCAGGAGGGCAAATGTTGAATGAATGATGCAAATGGTCCGCGACAGCCGCGTGCGGCGGATCGATTACACAAAACCGTTCCTGCTGCCCGTCTCCCCCGCGCTCTGCTTTTTCGAGAAGCCTCTCGAAGAAGGAGAGGTCAGATACATGGGGGTCGTCGCCGACGATCGTGTATTGCCCTTTAAATTGACGGTTGAGAAGTTAGAATATGTATTTTTTGGTGCAACGTAAATTAGAACACGTCGCGGGGACTGGGAGCACGAGGGCGGTAACAAGACCACCATCCGTTAACTCCCCTAATCGGCCTGGCACTAGGGCGGGCCGTGCCTTAGCCCTCAACCCCTCTGGGTGGTAGTACTGTAACAAATAGTAACTACAACAATACTGATGATGATACCTTTCAGTGATGAGAAAAAAAGGACGGAGCCTACGAGCCCCGACGATCCCTATCACACGCGTGCCCAAATCAGCCTACTGGTCTTCCTCATCCCCTATCGGAAGGAGTTCCTACAGGGTCTGTGAGAGAAGATGAGAGCTGGCTCGTCGTAACAACAAAAAGAGGGTGACAGTCTGTCCCTTCGGAAGATAATATCGTTTCATCAGTCTCAGAGTAGTAGCCGAGAAAGGTTTGCTGTGCTGCTCTTAGGCCTTGATGGAAATGCTACACCACGAGTTGCGCCCTCGAGACCCGACAGCCACAGCTATCACCCAGAGCAGTCAGCGTAAGGGACTTACTCATTCAATCGAAGAAAAACTACCCATAGCAGTTTCTGTTCCTTTTTCCTTGCTTTGATAGCTCTCGACCTAACACAGTAAAGATCATGTAGTCTAGAATGCGGAAGCTAGGATGGAGTGCCGTTACCCACCTTTCCTATTCTCGTGTTCCAGCCCTCTGAATTACCTTGCTAAGCATTCCACCGGTTTCCCTTGGAGAACTTCGCCACTTTTAGTTATCTCGAAAGTGCTCTACCTGAGTTCCTTCATCCAGGCCTTCTTATTTCTGGAAATAGAGAATAGCTGACTTGTCTTCTTATTGGATAAGGGTCATGTATTGTGATAGTGACTACTGGGTCTAATGAGTAAGAGAATCCAATCAGAAAGTTAAAAAAATTCAAACGTGCATCCAAATGTTTAAAGACTTTTGCATCGAACTAAAATGAAGATTCCGCCAGGTGGGGGTGATGCGGAAATTAAACTTAGTCAGAATCCTGTTCTCTTCGTTCTAGGATTTAATCTTAAATGCTCACAGTGTAGAGAATGGAGCCTACGTTGGGCAGTACATTAATTAATTTGTATATTCGAAAAGAAGCGATTACCTCACAACGCAAATAAGCGCGACAGATAGCGCGTACTGCCGTGCAGCAGCGAGCGATACCGTCTTGAAGAGCAGTCCGGCTTGACCACTGTAGCACATCCAAATCACGCCGATATCTTGTAGTAACACGAACGACAACCATGCCCGACAACAATGACTGACGGATCTCATTTGCTTCTGAATGGTATCACTCCTGGCTCCTTTCAACCCTTGCAAACTTAATATTAGGTTGAGTCATAAGTCCTCGGACAAAATACTAGCGATGACTTCTAGAGATAACTCGGGAAATAGGAGACGAAAATAAACGCGTGTGGCATTGTTAGATAGAGTATGAAAAGCTCTTCAAAACGCATGCTTACGAACACACAAACTGTTTCCTTTCCTGCAAACATGCCCCATGAATTCAAGCCGTCGCAACTCCACCTCCGCAACACCATCCTATTTCTTTCTTTATCTGGACAAGAACCGGCGGAGATCGATAGACGTATGAAGAAAGTTTACAAGAAGGGTGCTTCTGCTAGATGCACGATTCACAAGTGGCACAGGAAGTTCACGTCGGACAACCATTCCATCGAAAATGAAGACCGTCCGGGACCCCCAATGGAGTTGGATTCGGAAGTGCTGCGGAGCCAGGTGGAAGGCGATTCGTATCAAACTACTCGTGAACTGGCAGTCACCCTTGGGGAGTCAGTCCATAATTATTAGTGGATTGAAGTCAAACGGCAAGGTGCAAAAGCTCGTTCGATGGGTGCCTCAGGGCTTTAAAGCAGTATGACATGGATTTTCGCGCCGACATGGCACTTTCTCTCCTCGCGCCCAAGTGCAGGAGATGGTCAGGTGTACTCGCTAGTATGTAATTGGAAGAGCTTTTGGGACTCTATCTAGCGATGCCTCGCTCTTCCATTTTCGTCACCTCTTTCCCAAGTTATGATCTCTAGAAGTCACTACTATCACTTTGTCCGAGGACATGACTCAACCTAATACATAACAGAGAATCTTAGCTAAGGCACTAACAACTCCTTAGAGCAAGCACCTTAAACCATCAATCTACATGCTCATCAGTGTGTATATCTCTATGTAACTTTGTTTACATAGTCTTCTTCGTGGCAAGAGCATCTTTGATCGTGTGGCTTCGAATAATTCCAAACAAAGGATGCCTCCAGAATTTCGCTAATTCTTCCCCACAAATGCAAAACAAAAGACATGACTGTCCACGTCTTGAAACTTCACTGCTTCCATAAATGGTTAAATTCAAATTACTCATCAGGTGAGTTTTCCTGCAGCACCCCAGTGCGCTTCTAGAACTTCAAAATACTCAGAATAGTAAAGGATATGGTCACAAGAAGCATCTATATCCTACAAAATTTCTCCCCAAGCCAATGCAGTCAATGCAATTTCCCTTGTGCAAACGTGAACTTCGCGTTATGACGGTGATTAAAACTGAACCTGAAGGTATTGAGTGGCTATCAAGACCGTACTGTCCTACGAGTTTTCTCTTCAAAGCATATCTTAAAGGATCAAGTGCGATTGCTTGTACTGATACGGTAAGATTGAAACATTCGACAACAGTTACGCGATGGATTCATGAAACATCTTTATTATTTATTTCGTAGTATAAAGGGATTTCAATATACATATCAAAATCTATCTAGACAAACTTCAATTACCAAGCTGAGTTCACAAGTGGAAGATATCCCGTGAAAGGCGGGTTAGTATTATATCTAAGTAGCAATATTTTATTAGAAGGCATCGGGGGTCTATAAAAAAAAGAGTAAGCGCCCAGAGAGGAAATCAACAACAACGATCAAACCACTTCTAATAAATGTTGGATGTCATAGAATGAGTATGTGCTAAATGCAAGACAAAGCAAGAGGAGCTAGTATAGAAGAAGAAATGAGCAAAACCTCTAGATTAAATAAACAAGTTCTACAATCTTGAACACAATTCCAGACCAACGAAACCGCGACGAAAATGCAAAAGCTATCACTGATCTCATGAAAGCACGGAAAACGTATATTACAAACAATTTTGCTTCAACACCCACTAGTTATTCTGTCCCATGACGCTTTTTGATTCATGTTGCGTGTGAACTCAAAGATACCTATCCTGACGAGTAAAGTATGAGAAAACGGTAACCGCAGAACGAGGTCGATAATTGATTGAACTAGGCAAGCATTCCCGGTAAAGAACTAGTGAAGCTAGCGAATCAATGAAGTGTAGAAAAGAACAATTCCAACATCAATACCCGAAGATAATAGTCCTTTATTGACATGAGCGAGCACAAAACTGCTCGACCGAATCTCTCTATCGATCTCTGAATAGAAACTCTCAACACAGTGTAGATGTTGTGACGGTATAAAGAAGAATAATACCAATCAATAATAATATTCTTCTATTACAATTAAACGATAACAAAATAAAGTAAAGATAAAATCTTTGGAGTGGACGGAGGTGGTGTAGTGGCAAGTGACGCACTATCTCACATGAATGGTAACGGGTTCGAGTCCCGGATCAATATCGGTCTAGGCCAACCAAGCTCTCCATCTCTAAGGGGTCGGTTAATTGGTTCCAGTCTCGTCTCGAAGAATAAAGGCACCGAATGTACATCGGCTGGCCACAGCAAGTCATTGTACATGCCACATACGCATTCAATACGCCACTACGATTCTGAATAGGAATCGAATACATGGGCGCATCCCTTAGACGGGATTGAGCAACGCCCTAAGCTTTAACCGTCTATTCTTTATCTTGAAAGACTTTGGCGTTTACTACTTATGTTTCGGTATGTGCGCCCACATTCTCGAATGCTTATGTGACCTATATATTGAGGTGCGGTGGGCGACTGACAGACAAGTCAGTGGTTTTCTCCTACCAGGCGATCTGGACTCAATTGACGGATCCCTGGAACGTGGAAAGCTTGGTTGACCTGGCGGATATCGATACAGGACTCGAAACCGTGACCATGCTTGTATGATAGTGCATCACTTGCCCTTCTTTAAAGCCAACACTGACTTTATGAGGCTTGACCTTCCCCCTAGAAAACGCTCAAGAGGGCACAATGAAAGAGTAATTGTTCTTTTCACGCAAATCTCGCAAAAGCTTGTCTCCGGCATTGACTAGTGAAGCCACAATTTACGCTCTTCACAAAAAAAATTTCGATAATGGAAATAATAGAGAAGAGCTTCTATGACTTAAGTACTTACACTTATTAAACGTAGTAGTTTGGTGACACAAAAAGATCTCTCAGCGCACACAACTGATCCTCATTGAATTGAGCCTCGTGCTCACGCCATGAATCTTGATGAGTTCGTTTGAACTCGGACAATGTTCGCTTGACAGTATCCTGATGAATTCACAAACTTTATAGTATCCAATATGCGAGAAGGAAAGAAGAGCAACCTAGCGAATTCAAAATAAAAGCGTCAATTCCCTGTCATAAACTAACTTTGATGGGTTGCTTCTCCGACGCATATCGGCACAATCGCATTAGAACATCGGGAAGATAGGATGGTACCGTGTACGGAGAGGCAAGTACAACAGCCGACAATCCGAGTACACCACCATGGCGAATTATGGGGTCCTTCGAGTTTGCACGATCATTGAAGGCGGCCTAAAAATATGCGTTTCCACAAAAAGCTTGGAAGGGTTTTTATATCACCATTTGATATGTGAGACCATATATTTCCGTGCTATCGCCTAGAATGACCCTCTAACCGTTATCGGCCTAACTGCAAAAGATTTCCGATCTAACAGATGAGTGCCACTACAGGACAGCAATTGAAAAGGCAGGAGAACTTCAGAGAGAGAAAGAAGAGTGGAATCCGCCCACAACACACAATATTTATTATCACATATAAGCTCACCAGTAGCTCTGAAGTAACCGAGAAAAACGAGCTTTGAATCAATCCAGACAAGGTATTCGCAGCAGTTTGACGAACTTCCAGTTGACTTTCGCTCAGGCAACACATCAGTAGCTGACCTAAATCAGCTGGTTCAGTTAAAATAAAAAATGGGGGTAACCAGGACCCGCAAAACCTGGCTACAAAAATTTCATGGTGTAACTGACCAATATCTTCCTGTACAGTGGCAAACACGTACTGATTGGAGAAAACTAGCACTTTCATCAACCAAAGCAAGGTCACTTTAGACTTCCACCAACATGGAGATTGCAGTATCTGAAATTATCAACCACCATAAGAAAAGTTCATAGCTTGAACTGAGGAACATTATCAAGTAAGGGGATGTAGATTACCTGCCGAAACACTTGCATAATACACGGTAAATGTGCCTCCGGAATATAAGTCGCTTGTAGAAGCTTGGATAACAAGGAAAAACATTGTTTATACAACTCTTCATCACTGAAATAACGAATGCATTATGGCTAGATTACTCAGAAAAGCATTTACATGGTTGGCCAGATTGAGCAACCTCACTATTGAAATATTAGTGGCTCAAAATGATTTCAGAAGTGCTTGAACATGAGGAAAATGGATGCGGATTGTGGATGCGAAAAATAATCTGGGTAAGAGCGGTCCATAAATGTTTGCGCAAATGAATTCGAGGTTAGTGGATCAAGGTGATGGGGAAGGGACACCGACTGCTGATGACAGAGTGATAGCAAAAGGCGAAGGACTCGCACGCTGTACGGAATGAAACGAGGACATAAGTGGTGGCTAGTAGAAAAGGATAACAAGTATGAGACATGGCTAAAGGATATGGGAAGAAGAAGTTGATCTACTTTTTTCGATGGTCACTATCATCTTAATAAGTGGTCCATGACAAAAAAGGATCTTATAGTGGGGGTCATAGAAAAAAATGAAGACGGTAGCAACCGACCAATGATGGTCATATTGAGCCCTTAAGAAGCAATTGGAGAAGTAGTCCAACATATAAACAATATCGCCTAGTATAAACTTACCCAACATCATTACTATAATGACAGAATATAGGCAAAAGTTGCAAGATTGACGGAGGTAGTGAGGTAAGGGACTGTCCGGCAACATGTAAGGTAAACGATAGCGCTCCCTTCAGAGCAAGACGAGCGGCTCGCTTCACTTCGGAGTCTCCTGTTCCGTTCTTAAATAAGTTTCTATGAGCAAATACCCTGCTGAAGTTTCAAAATTATGCTAACCAGCTCAGTGGATTCCGAACAACTGTTTCCAACATCCTTGACGCGAGTTTCTTCCCAGCATGCTCCCATCTGAAATAAAGCGAAAGTAATCACTGCATTCAATTAACAGAACAGTACACGATAATTATGGGGGGTCTAGCTTGAGATCAATAGCGGAAGTGATAGTCCAGTATAATGCAGTAGCTAAGAAAATTGAAAATCGGCGTATTCAGAGAAATGTAAGAATTTCAAAAAATAGTCGAAGTAGGGGCTGGACGATAACGTGACCACAAAAGTTGCCTGGAAGGGGGTACTAGGACGAGCTGTCCGAACGTGTGGGTCATTGCTACAGCTGGTTACAGCAGCTAAGCTGCTTGCATGCAAGGTGTGGCCTACGGACTACTTGAACTCGGTTCCTTTAAATTTGCCAGATGCGTCATTTTTCTGCCCTCGTCTGGCGCACTCCCGTTTGATGTGTTCTTTGAGTGTTGTGCTCGCCTGTCCAATGGAACCCCCACCACCACCGCCGTAGGCTTCAACCGGGGTGTTTTTCTCTGCGCTCTAGCTTCTTGCCGACAGGGACGCAGAGGAAGTTCAAGTAGTCACGTAACCGCAAGGTGTGGGTGTCTGTGAGAATGGTGCAATTTCTACCGCTCCCACAACGCCATGAAAACTCGTCCCCTTCGGGTGCGTACGTCGGTTTAACCCGATGCCCCTTTGCCATCCTTGTGTCCTTTGGTTCATCCTTAATGACGTTTGAGAAACCTTGATTAGCTTATAGGCATCATGAACTATGCCTATTAGCGAATCATTTAAAAAACTGGCTTGAAATGATACATGGGCCAGAAATATAAAGATTTAATACTATGAATATCACCTAATAAGTAAACCTACATGCTGATTGTACAATCCAATGCAGTGGGCTACTGTGGGGGCGCGTAAGGAGTCCGGTATACCAGGACTGTAGTAAATTGTTGGCAAATCGAACCATGAGGCTGTCACAAGAGATCTGAAAACAGGAACTTTTCTGAGAGGAATGATCGATGACACGACACCAGCGCTATCGCAAAGACGCGGATATAATAGATTGGTGGACAAATTGTCCAACACCCCCTTAAACTTAATATCTCAGAGAACTGCGTAGTTATGCTTCTGTTTCAGAGCTGGAACGGCAGAGTGAACGTTGGTTGCTATTGTTATAATACCGACTGGTAATATGGCGGAGTGCGTTCTGGCACTATCCACTGATAATCCAGTTCAGAGTTCTCACTGCATTACATGTATCCCTCACCAATCTATATATTTCCTCTCTTACAGTTGAGATATTCATGATAATTTGTTCAATAATCCATAAATGATCACTATGGATTGGTCGAAATTACAGTGACAAAATGAACATCTATGTTACGGTCCATGCTGTATAAGCGCTAATCACAAATCTGACTATTAAACATACACCTAAGTATTACACTCAGCCTGCCCGCTTGTTTCCCACATCAGTGCCTTTATCACGGACTGCACACACACAGGCAAACGAATAAACCGGCAGATCGTCCAACAAATCGACACAGCAAGTTCCTGCTTTATACATAAGAAGGTTAAGTCGAATTGCCCGAGTAACGCGAGGCTTCCCTTTTTTTATGATAAACTGGGAATGTCTAGCTAGACCCTTCGTTTTCTTCGGATAGCAGCGACTTTTTCGCTGACGAGCAACCTTCTTATTGCTTATCGATCGAAGCATTAGATGGTGCTTGCTGGTGCTGCTGAGAAGTGCTATATTGCTACTTTAATAAATCGCTTAGCTTTCGTTTCATAGCTCTCGGAATATTATTTTCGTAGTTCGAAAAGGTAACCCAATAAATTACAAGTATAATACATTCGACTCAGAGGCTCCAAAGAAGGCGATTCCGCCGAAACACTAGCGGTGGATTAGAGTTGTTACTATCCTCTCGGGAACTAAGTTAATCCTTAACAAATATTACTCGGACCATGCCGAGATTAATGGAGGTCCGTCATGGAATATTCCACGTCGAACTCCAGAACAGTGCGCGATGATTCATNAAAAAAAAAAAAAAAAAAATAGAATACATGATCTTAAAAGTAGAGCCGTGAAAGGAAAATCCAGTTCAAAAAGGGAATGCAATAAGCCAGCAAAAATTCAATAAATAAATAATAATATAGGAGGATCAATCATATGATTGCAATACAAAAAAGGTGTGTTTGAGTAAGCATCAACAAATGTAAAATTCGAAATAAAACCTAGGAAAAAAATGCAATAGAAACATACATCGCCATACGATCTCGAAGATTGGCGTATTGCTGAGCCACAGCAGGTTTGGATATGAGTGCAACCACTTTATTCCATAGCTCAATTGTACGCCACTCGAATTGACACAATCCCCCTTGCAACAGGAACAGACGTCTGCAATTGAGAATATCGTAGCTCCTCGAAAAACAGCTTCCACAGACAAAGCAAGCAAACAACAAAGAAAAAAAAGGACAGTAAAAAAGAACTCACGATTGTGCAGCAAAGGCGCTTTCCGTAGGCCTGTTGACCAGCGCAAAAAGGATATCCAACAGTGGCTTCAACATACGGGACTCCGAACAACCACATACAGTCGCCACACATACACCCCAATTTCTCATGGCTTCTTCCTATAGCAAATGTATATACATCCTAAGTGAGATAAGAAGTTCACTTTTTTGAGGCAATAACAGAAGGTTGCGAATCGAAATGGATGTAAATGAGAAACGAACAAAATGCTGAACACCGTTACCTTCATGTTTTCGAAAGCACGTGTCAACAGCGGAGAAAGCCAAGTCCACAGCTTTTTCTGACGCCTCCATTTCCATAGCTTAGATCCGTTTATGATGCCAGCCACAATTTCAGACGCCAACTTTTGGTCGCTGCCCTGGAAATCGAGCAAGGATCACCACATCATGCTAATTGGATTGTTTGAAGAAAGGGACTCACCTTCGAGCTCATGATGAGCACCTCTAGATGTTCTTTGAAAACGCCGCAAAGGATGTCGTTAAAACAGCGGAAGAGCCCCTGCAAGGGTCACGTAAGATTTCTGTTTCCCTTCAAATCTTCTAATCACCAATTCCAACCTGGAATAGGGAAAAATTCACAGCATTGAATGAATCCTCTTTAGATTCTTCAACAGCGAAAAGCTCTCGCAAGCGGGCCGAAAACTCTGGATCTCGGAATGTTTCCACAATAAATCGCTCCGTCTCCGATAAATCTTCGTCGTGTCTGTCAATAGCATTCTGTTCTCCCAGCGGTGCATAGCTGGAAGAGTAGACGACAATTCGAATAGATGAAAATTTTCTGCTATGCTGCTTAAATATTTACACCATCGACTGAACTTCGATTACCATCTCAACTTACGTTATAAGTTTCTCTGGCCATGTGTAAAAGCCCCAGTGCTGCTTTCCGCAGAACTGGAATTTATCCCACTCTTCCTCCGTTTTGGGTAGTAACTGCAACGGTTGTGATAACGGGAAAGCATCAAACGTTACAGCATTTCAAACTGTACACTTACCTCTTCCTCATACATCATGCATCGATTGTCATCTCTGATGCCATAATGGATTGGCCACCGAGCGCCTACAGAGGTGTTCGGCTCCTAAACATAGCTTTCTTCGACGATGCGAGAAAAACGGTTCTATTAGAAGAAGAAAGCAGAGCGATCGACTTTTGCCAAATGAAACTGACTATTTTCATGAATAACTTACCTTGTTCAAGATAACCCATTCCCGTTTGAGAGCCTTTGGTTTGTTCAATTTCAACCAACTAGCAACCACTGCCGTTGCCATTCTACGAGCTTTCACTGTATCGTGAACCAAAAGGCGAACCCACATCCGAAGAGCTGGTTCTGGATACGGTACGTCTCTGCAAAAATGAACGTTACGATAAAATCAATCATCAATCAAGCCACTACCAATGAAAGAGCTGGAATAAGAAGAAAGATAGCAGGCATGCATTCAGAATATTCCAAAAAGAGTCGCAATCGGAGCAGTTTGGGACATTCGTAATATTTGAATATTTCCACGCTGTCGTCAGTGATTCATAGTATTAATGGCATATGGAAGAGCGGCTGGGAAACAGAAAGCGAAGCAAACAGTATAGAACACATTGCGATCAAGGAATGGTCACGTTGGTGCGTTGGTGCCAAACAATAAAGTCATAACCCACGAAAAAGATAGCATTGACCCCTCCCTCATCAGATTTTATAGGTTGGGCAAAAAAGATACCGTGATTTGTGGTCACATTTGTAATTCTGATAGCTTCGATAGCTTTTGCATAAGCTCAGCTTGTTAGAAGTCAGCAATACGCCGAGAATAGCTTTGTTTTACCTAAAAACTGTAAACTTCAGTTACCTGCGCACAAGCAGTGAAAGGAAAGCTTGAGCCATATCAACATGTCGCCAGTGAAGGTTGGGGTCCGTGGCCAGTGACAAAAGTTTTTCGGCTAACTCATAGTACTGCCTTAAAATAATTCATTCAGCAACGAAGAATAAGAAGGTTACACCAGTATTGGACCTTGTGTGCTTCTCTTTCAATTTCGCTAAATTGTTTGCATTCGCCTTCATAACCTTTTCCGATGGCATTCCATGACTTGCATTCAACGGGCAAGCTTCCTTTTCATCTAGCAACGACATGGCGATTGACCGCATTTCGTCCGATATCTACAACGCTATCAATAGCCAAATCCCATACACTAGTGAAAGAAATATATTACCTCGTATTCAATTCGATAACTTTCGTACAGTTCAACAATGGAATTTTGTGCTTGCTCCAATAAATCGATGATGGACGGTTTCTCACTGTGACTGGTACCGACAATGGCCGGCATCGCTAGCAACTGTGCTTCAAAACCGGCTCGCAAAACCAATGCATCACGTTTATGGTCAGTGAGTATATGCAGGGCACCCTGGAACATTATTTGAGCCTCGGTAGAAACCAGTGAAAGTAGATAAAAAGAAAAATATAGCAAAGATGAACTGGTAATGGTGCTACACCTTGATTTGTTCGTGTGACGAGTTGCTAGCTGGATCGAGAAGTGCAGTCAGCTCTCCAATGATGCTCTTGTAAGCGAACGGATAGTCCTTCAGCAAATTCACTAGTACCAGTTGAGCTTTCACACGATTCTAGAAAGAAAAAATCGAATGAAGGCGGCATGGATCTGGCAACCGGAAAAAAGCGCATGTATCATCTGTAGTTCTGAGTGAACTCAAGCACGAAATACCTTGAATGTAAAACCACTACTCTACACTTCCAGCACTGCACGGGAATTACAGTGCACAACGCGGAACCATTACATGGAAGTGCCCCAAATGCACTGATCATACTCTAAACGAGTCTTTGGAGCATCAGATTCCCCTCCCTTGCCCATGATCGAAAAAAGGAAGCAAAGAAGGCAATCGAATTGAATTGCATTTGATCAAGCTCACCTGACTATACGTACTAGTACCAATCCTAACCAGCATGCGTAGAATCTCTACATGCTGCGGTTTGCATTGGTACCCGCTTTGCGTAACATTTCGTTTCTGAAAAAATCTTAAACATTCTGTTTATTTATGCATGTATATCCAATGAAGAGTTGAGAGTTGTGCAAAAATCACACTAATTTATTAACTATTATTCAAAAGGTAAAGATGCTTCTAGTGGATACGTTAGCTGGGCTCCACTTCAACTAACCTTATGCATCAATAGAGTGTATTCCTCCGAAAGCATTTCGATATTTCCACGATTTCCAGCAATTTGATCGCTGAGAATTGCTTTCGTTGTGCGGTAACTCAATACCGATGTGACAAATAACTCCTAAAAATAAGCTCTATTTGAATATCGCCACCAAACTTGGTCGTGGCATCTTACACCTTCTGCAATGTATTGAAACATGGTTAGGTCAACACCAAGGGGGGCTGGTTCTTAGGTTCACTTTTGCACGACAGAATTTTTCACTGCCTCCAGGCGAAGAAGAAAGCTGACTATATTCTATTCCACGAGAAACTTCCTGCTTCAGCTCAGAGCAAAGGGGCTCTAAACAGTTCCGAAACCATTGGGTACTTGGCCATGGTGTCGCGCTGAATGGTTCAGAACCATGAAGAGCCTGCTTGCTCTGAGCTGAAGCAGGAAGTTTTTGCGAAATGGAGTTTTATCAACCTCCACCAGAAAAGAGAGAATACGGATGCGATCCAAGCCAATCTATCCCCAGTCTGGGCTACGCCTTCAAAGTTTGTTAAAAAGAAATACCCCAACAAGGATAACAGCTGGGGTTTTAGACGACAAACATTAGGTAAATTCTTCATCTATTATGTGTTCATGTGCTCTCAAAGGCAGAGGTTGCAGCGGTGATTTCCATATAATCGCGTTTTGAGCATTTTCCGCTTCAGCTATCTCAAATGGCGAAATTAATCGAACACATTAAAAATTCCACTCCTTATAGAAGACAACTCTGATCAACTCCGAACTCACAGAATTTAAGCCTCGGCAGGATGCCAGAGTATTCAGAAGAACAACAATCTGTTGAATCGACTTAACATCATCCTCTGAGTGCTCAAACAAATAGTCGAGTAAGTGGCGCATACTATCAAGCACAATGTCTCGAACACTGCAGCCATTTAGAGTGAGTACTGCAAAAATAAAGAATATGCTAGGCTATTGGTACCACAGCCACGTAAGGCAATAGAAAAACTAATACTTCTCAACGAGGCGTGCCTATTTGGTAGATATATTAGACTAACCTGGAGCATTTAGTGGGCGAGCAATAGGATGTTCAACTTCCTCAAGCGACGGCGATTGTTCTAAGCCATAATTCGGTCCTTCGAAAAACGGTATCGAAGCTGATGCCCCTAGCACGGCATTGCGTATCAGGAGGAGATGATGCATGACTTCTTTTCTTGAAGGTTCTTTATATGATATGGATCTGATCTTTTATAAAAAGGATAAATATAATTTCTCGGAGTAACACTTACTTGTCCATGCCATGTGGAGTGGCCAGAGCTTGCAGTTGAGGCATTACAAAGTCTCGGAATAACTCAGCGGCTCGATCAATGTCTTCTTGTGATGGAATATGCCTTCATAGAAAAAAAACATTCAGCATGGAAGTTAGCAAAGTTACTCATCATAAAAAACATACCACTGTGGGTGCCACGTTTTTTTGTCCACGGTAGCGGACCAATGCTGAATAGAAGTCATTGTTTTTTTAAGAATGTCACATACCGCATACGAGGTAATCAAAGGTCAACAAGAGCTCAATATCTGTTCCTTCACACTGGTCAAAACTACACACACTACACATTAAATACTTGAATCGAGAGCATCCACACATAGCGTACCCGGATAGCCAAAGCATCTTCCAAGCTCTTGTCAGCATTTGCTCTCCGTGTTGGTGATTCAAGCAGGTAGATGCTACAAAGTCCCTCCAGCACACTTTCAAAAATGGCAGCGGCCTTCTGAAAAACTTAGCATATACGCCTACCAGGAATCATCTTAGAAATTATAACCTCAAGAATCCATATACTAAATCAGCTACAGGATAGAACATAAGATATGAATAATGAAACACCTACCTCAGTAGCCAATGTACACTTTTTTAGTGGCAATACTAGTTCGAGTACTGCACGAACATCAGCCCAGTTCTCAAGCAGATAACTGGAGGGAGCCTAAAAACAAGTCTTTTTGGCCTTCAAAAGAAACTGAATCCAGTAACCTAGTCATTGTAGGTGTCCTATAAAAAATGAAATAAAAACTTCAGGATGGATAGTCTAACCTTGAGAACTCGGTCAGTCATAGATAGCCACCAAATCACTTGGAAATCCACCTTTTCTTCAGCATACGTCTCAACTTAAACGGAAGTTTTATGAGTCGATAACTCTTTTCAAAATAAAACTATTCGTCTTGAAAACGTACTGCAAATGCACTGCTGCAGCTTCTTTTTGATCAACGAGAAGAATCGGACGAACGATAATGAAGGATACATCTAGAAATATAAGTGCAGATGTGGGGGAAAGTGTAATAGAAGTGTGGAGAGAAAAAGGCTTCCTCAACTACAGCATTTATAGGATATGCAACTTTGTTTATTAGTTATTGACCAAACCCATACCAAATTGTAGAATAGGGGCTATAAACTTACCTTTACGGCTACGAACACCATATCTGCAATGGCTGTCGATACGGTTTTACTATCGAAAACATTCTCACACATGAAGTTATACAACCGATCAACCGCCACCTAAAAAAGATCAAGTTACAAGACATGAAGAACTAGTGAAAATACGAAAAATCAATACCTTGTACAATTCTGTGCTTGAGTTCCGGCATATTCCTTTGAACACCGAAATAGTACCTCTAAAAACAAATAACAAAAACTGCATCTGTATATAAAAAGCATAGCATTCGTTTACGGGCCAGAAACAAATGATAAATCATTTTAAATCTAAAGAAAGCTTCTTCAGCTCTTGGGAAACTGCTCGCTGTGAAAATAACTATGAAACTTTTTTCACCTATGCAAGATATGATCATCCATATTTGCTCTTGTTTTGGTGTTTATGTTGGTGTGAGAACCGGTAAACGCTGCTGCCTCTCCGTACTCCACCATCATCGACAACAATCTGAAATTCAGCAACTGGGTGATGATTTGGGAGCCGTGAGCAGGAAGTCTTGTGTACGAGTGAAAATTTGAAGCGGGTTTATAGCCCAAATAGATAAGCTCTCATCTGCTGTGCCTATACCACTTTTCACTTTAAAGTATCACTTTTTTCTGTCCATGATCCGTGACTTTTGAGGAGTGCATCCTTGTGATTTCAGCTCTATGAGTTATAAGTTCACATAGCACGTACCGCCCACTTTTAGAACGCTCAACCCACCATGGATGAGTCTCCTTCGTCCCATTTTCTAACCTTTGCCCATTCCTTTCTAGTGTCTGGGGTTTTCCGAAATAGAGATATGTATCTCTTCTCATTGCACCGCCCGTTCCAGTGCATAATCTATCCCTACGAGCGCTATTTACCAAAACTCATACTGCTCCATTGATCTTGCTTCACGGTGAAGTCATTCTAAGCTTGACTACGATGCTCCAGGTGCTTTCTCACGTAATATCAAAGTACATTACAGACATGAAGAAGCGAATGCTTTACATATTCTATTCATATTCTAATAATTCTATTGGTACTGAACGATGTTGACTGAGCTCAGAAACGTCACAGGTGATGGTCTTTGAACAGAATTATGGATTTTCGATCTAAGCTCACATTTGGAAATCTTATATGGACCCTTCTATGGTCTCATACCATTCTATTCCGCATCTCAATGTGTTTCTAGAAAGAAATATACACATATTTTTTCTAAAAAAAACTTTCATTTGAATGCGCGCATGCCACTGGTGGCCAAAACTTCGTGAAGTTCATGGATGCCGCAAATATAATAGATCTTGCCCACCCCTTTTATTTTTTTTTCTCTGGCGTCCACGCTTTCGTTTATTCGAGTTGAAAATATCGCCCACTGCTCTCCGCCCACCGTGATGTGTCTACATCATTTAACTTGTCGACCCATCCCTCACCTGTGCAGATTTTCTCGGTGCCTGGGTTCTTATGAAACCAAGTTTGCAACTTTTGCTTGTAAGACCGCCCACTTCTGTGTATGTCCCCCTCCCCATGGGCAGAGCTCTGCTGGCTCACACGGGCTCTGTTGTTCTTCCTCTATGTCCAACCCACTCCAAGCTTGACCTTTCCTCTCCAGGAGATTCTTCTGGTAATTAGATTTCGTGACAGACACATAGATAGACGAAAGCACGTTGTATTATGTACATAGAACCATGATTGTTCAAAAGAAAGGGGAGGAGAAAAAGTGAGCCCTGATTCATCAAACGATGTTACAGAATGGGAAAAACTTACTTGTCCATAAACATAGCAATAATGCTGTCGAAATTGGCTGTGGCTGAACATAGCTCTTTTTCATCTTCAGTCAAGTCCGAACGATGATGGATTGCCTCAGAGCAATCAACAAGCGGAATCAAATTCACCAGCACACCAACGATCTAATTAATGAATGACTTGCAATCATTATATGTACATTTCCAGAAAATTGATACCTGAAATGTTGTCAAACACTTCCCCATATCGTTCTGATCCAGTCCAGGGAGAAGAGAATTCATAAGGTTGATAGCGTGGATTCTGTAACGCAGACTTCATGAAGTGAAAAGAATGTTTTAAGCTCCAATGACAGTCAGTCTAATAGTGAGCAGGGTGTTAAAGCGAAAGACTATTTCGATTGTTTATTAACCCGTAAACACGATCACTTAGAATGGAATGAGTTGTCCGAAAGTTCGTTTATTGTTGGCATTAATCATGGAATGCAACAGCCACACAGCGGCACTTTTTCATCGAATATGATTCAATTCCAGCAACACATGATCACCTAATCAAATTCATTATTATGGACCGGTCAACGTGAGTGCTATATCAATTTCAAATTTTGAAAAAAAAAACCTCACGACGATACGTCACCAGAATTGGCCTAGCTTTGAAAATGACCCCTGGGCTTTCCTGGTAACTGCGACAACAACCAGAGTAATCGTAGTAATCGTAGACGGATGGTCAAAACAAAACTCTACTTTATCTTCCAACATTCTTCAACAACACTATCAATTATTGAGAAGAAATGAAGCCATACCGAAATGTCTTTCCATTTTTGTCAGGTTGATCTTTGGCGAGTACTGGCGCCACGGCAACGAGCACTTGGAGAGCTTGTAGTAAGCGATGTGGTTCAGTGAGAGTCTCTAGTGCCGGATACACGCTAAAGTCTCCTATTTAAAAGTTGACCAAGTAACACCAAAAATAGAACGAAATCCGGGTAGAAAGATTCGAAGGAAAAATATAGGAAAAAAGGACGCACATGTCAAGAACCGCTGGCAGCACAATTTTTGGGCTTATACTGCAGCAGCACTTCACGATTGGAGCCACGAATCTAAAATTCAAGCAGGAAAACTCAAAATCATGAAATCAAAAGGAAAGCCAGCAGGACAAGGAAATGGAAAAAATAATGGAGAACAACAGTAGTAACGTACTCATTTCGAGCTTTGGAGAACATCGCTAACTTGAGGCACGGTAATATCTGTGTGACAAACTCGTCAAGGTGAGCCTGTGTAAGCCGCATCGAGGCTGGAATCTAGAAATAAATACAATTAGTCAAGCTGAAAACTACTGTAGCAGAATTGCTTCCAAACAAACCTTAACGAATGTACGACACTTGCTGGAATTCTTCTCCATGCGTTCCCTCTTTACTCGAGACAGAACGCACAACGATAGCCTAAGAAGATTCAAGAAGTCGAATTTAAGATGCAGAAAGTAAAAATTGGAATGCAACGAATCAAAACTAAAAAAAAACTAAAACTAAAAAACCAAAACTGACTTATTCATGAAAACCAGTAGATGTTGTGTATGCATGCCATGATTCGAAGGATGCAAATAAGACTCCACCAATTGGAAAAGGGAATGCAAGTTGCTCATAAGCCTNAGAATTGCTTCCAAACAAACCTTAACGAATGTACGACACTTGCTGGAATTCTTCTCCATGCGTTCCCTTTTTACTCGAGACAGAACGCACAACGATAACCTAAGAAGATTCAAATCATCGAATTTAAGATCCAGAAAGTAAAAATTGAAATAAAACGAATCCTTGCACATAAAACTGACTTATTCATGAAAACCAGTAGATGTTGTGTATGCATGCCATGATTCGAAGGATGCAAATAAGACTCCACCAATTGGAAAAGGGAATGCAAGTTGCTCATAAGCCTAGAACAACCATAACTTCCACGTCATAGCCATCCAGTAGAAATCTTTCCAGTATATAGAAACAACTGCCGTTCAAGATGTAATCAAATTACTTGTCGTGACACTGGGTTCCCATTGCGTAGGTGATGAAACCTGATGCACCTTCTAGATTGAACTGTTGACAAAGCCCTACGACGCTACCCAGACGAAACGATCGAATCAACTAGAGAAAGTAATTTTACGTGAAAATACTTTTGCAATCAGTGCGGAATAGTTTCACTGAAATCTACATCTGATTACCTTCGTGAAAATGACATCAAGTTTGTCAGTCCAATCAACAGACCCTGGGCATTCAACTGATAACCTGGAAAAGAATTTTATTTTGCTGTCATGATACTAAATTCACTACCTGCATTTTCGTTCTTGATACTCACCTTACGAACATCTTGAGAATGGACGCTTCTACTAAATTATTGTTCTCTACTGTTATAAACCAATGCCATGCCTCATCCAACCACAATCCACTCCCTTAAAATGACGTTGTAGATGACATTGCTTCATAACTTCTACACTAAGTGAACTTCATGGCAGCTGACAGAGTTAACATTCGAAACCGTAGAAAACCTTGGAGCTCATTACCATGAGTAATCTGCCTATCTGGTAAGAGATTCATTGGCACGAACATCTCCAGCAGTCGCCAAGCACGTACTATAGACTCATCCCAGACGCACATCAAAGGTCGCAACTGAAATGATAACATTAAACTAGTATGGATTTATATCTTCTTTGAAACTTAAATCAATACAACACTGTTACAGAAAAGCTCATATCGATGCGTTGGGATAGCTAAGTAATACCTCATCAAGCAACTGCTGTGTTGCGTTATCTGAGAAATACCGTCGTGAATGAGAAATATATGTTTGTAATTCATTTCTAAAGCCATCGGGCATAAGAAATATGCCATCTTCCTGCAATTGATGTTTTGTAATTATGAAAAGGTACGCTATCCACGAGAGATCTGCGTTTCAGTAAATTAAAGACACACCTCAAAGAGAAGTGGTAAAAAACAAAAATAGGCTAGCTGATTTTCAACTGAGATAAATGGAAACTAACAGTTGAACGAAAATACCACGTACCTCCAAGTTTTTGTAAGAAACTTCAACATACAAGTCAAATAATGGTCGCCAGTCGATTTCCAAATCGCCACGTAAAAGAAAATCACGTTTCCTGGATGAACAACTATTACACTGATGACTGTATTGTAGGTCGCATTATGCTTAAGATGAAATTTCGGAAGTAGGGATACGAAACGTGTTTTCGACACAACTCAAAAGAAAGGCTCTGTTGGTTCTACGCAAAAAAGCTCACTAAACATCACCACTAAACAAAGGTGTAAGCTAGAGAATGCACTAGACAGAGCAAATATCGAACATTTCTCTAAAAAGATGGAGTTGAGGACTTACCCGAGTAACTTGTTAAGACAATGCATTGCGATTTTAACGTCTTTGAATGTATTGCCTTTCTTAACTAAGCAGTTCAATAAGCGAACAAAAAGGATGTGATCATCTTTGCTCAAACGACGACCATGATAATCGATGTAGCTAAATTTATACACAATAGCATGTCAGTCACAAGTGAATGATTAATCGAAAAACAGTACAACCAACCGCTCTAGTTCTGGTACCCAGTGCAAGAAACCAGTAATTGGATCATTAAGAAGTATTGCGTGCGATAAACCAGCCTTAAACAGAAGGCTACAAGAGCGAGTTATCAGAAGGCCACAAAGAACTCCTATTCAAACTTCGAATAATTCGAAAAGGCTCTTACTTCCTAGATGTGCTGCACAATTTATGGAAGCTTAAGGTTGAAATGTCACTTTTGAGCCTATAATTCACCAGTTGATTCACGCTCACTAACCCCCACAACACAACAAAGAGCGCTTTAAACGATACACAAATAGTTGTTATTCAATTATGAATTTATGTAGGAAGGACTGCTCATAGTCAGAACGGCCCGCCACTCACGAGTGGAGGCTTTTGTCTCAATCATTGGCTCAATCTTCACCTTTGCCCGTTTTCCTCGGTGTCTGAATTCCAAATTTAAATTCGGAGGTGGCGGCGCTAGGCGCCGCCCACTACAGGGCCTATACTAGTCCCCGCTGGGACCCTCGCTGAGCTCATATGCACTCGTTTATTCTGATTTATGCTCACATCTCAAAAACTTGACCCTGTTCCCATGTACAGGCCTTAATGTGGTTTTCTCCGGGAACGGTAAAGCGACAACAACTGGAATGTTAAGGAAAGATTTTGTAAAAGTATAAGCTACAAAATTTCACGAAAGAGAAGGCAAGTAGTTGTTAATCAATAAACTGGCCCATCCTTGTTCACCGAGTGATGAAGGCAACACCTTGGTTCAGCAATTCTAATATGTAACAAGCGGATATTGATTGTGCACTTTCATAAAAAACACTTAACCACAGATGCTTTGAATACGCTTACCTTAATGCTTGCAATAGTTTTATTCGCTTGTCTCTCAAGATCTTCATAATAGGGGAGCTTAGTAAGCTGCCAGATCTCCTTTTGATACCATTTCACACAGGAGGAATTGGAGCCGATATCCATGTCATTATCGTCACCTGAAGCAACCCATAGTAGAAGACCTAAAAAATCAGAGAAACGATGTGAAAAAAGTTTCAAAAAGCTTTTCATGAATATGCACCATCCTACACCGTGAGTAATCCTGTGAAATAAAATTTCCTGGACCTAAAAGCCCTAATCTTCTGCCAAAAGTTACCGCTGGGCCTTAGCTTTCACATGAAATTCTCATCAGACTACTCTGCAGCCACTCACCATCGGCTTCTGAATCTTCATCATCTTTGGCCGATTTCAGCGAAAGTTTACCAAACGATGAGGAATCCATAAATGAGTTACTCGGCAAAGAATCGACCACATAATAAGTTTTTAATTCCGTCATAATCTATATTCGGTAATACGAAGGCAAAGTGAAAGTACCCATATTTTTGTGAACAAACGATAACTAGTAAGGAAGTGAAAGCAATGATCAAACTCAAAGCTTGATAATGCACTGTGAGCGGTTGCGAAACGCATTCGTCCACCAACGCATCGAGAACTATCTCCAAAACGGATAATGACATGAGAATGGTAAATTAACAGTTCCGTGGCTGCGGTCAGTTTATAAGCTTTTGCTTCCTCTTATCCAGTCTCATTCAAAAACATTTGAAAAGGCAACAAACTTTGTGTTTAGGAATCTTGATGAACTTTAGCAAGTATTAGAAAATTTCGAGAAGTGTTTTGAAGGAAACCGTGCAAAAATAATGATCACAATTTGGTCAGGCTGGTTGTCACGCCAAATCGACCAGCACGAAATAGCGATTTACCAAGAAACAAAAATGTCACATGATTAATAAAACTAAAGTTTCTGCAATTCGATTGAAGATTATGTGAGTTTTGACAGCAAGACCTCAATTGGGAAAGCCCTTAGCCTCACAATGACCGAAAAGCCTGACTAGGTGTGTGCACTGAAAGCTACGAGTTCATCTAGAAGATTGGCAGGGCAAAGCCGATTAAATTAAGCGAGCCGTGAGGCATCTCACTCATTACGTTAACTTTACAAAACATCCATTCTTGGAAGTAAGCGATATCCCATCTAATATTTAGACAGAAAATTGCTGAAAATCCACATATAGGCGTCGAAACAGGCCGCTAGATTGAGGGCACAAAAAATAGCGAAAGTGCAATCACCGCGTATCCATGCAGAAACGAAACGCTGACATCAAAGCAGGGCGAATTTTCCCCACATTTCATCGAACTAGAGCGAAAGGAAACAAAGCCCACAGCGGAAACATTGGGAAGAAATCAAAAAAGCAACATTGCCAAGCACATGAGTGCAATGACTCCCAGTCAATGTCGTATCTTGCCGTTGCCCCCTTCATGCTGACCTGTTTCAACATGACTGAACATGAATGCCTATTTAGTACCACCGCAGATTCCCTTATATCTCTTGAAGCGCTTGTACAAGAAGCACCACATTCCTTGAAATTTCGAGCACTGACAAGATTTGCCCTGTCCCACCTTAAAACCCTGTAAGGGCATACAATGGCTCTGGGAGGGATCAATATAGATTAAGGGATGAATCACGACCACCAGCATAATCAATCAATCACCAGCTACAGATCTTGCGGGGGATGTGATGAATAATAACGCTTGGAGGCGGAGCCTACGGCGACTGGGTGGAAGGGACTCAATGTCCCCCACTGCCTCGGGGCCTGGTCGTGATCTCGTCCACGAATCCTCTACGCCGCCGTATTGCAAGCCTAATTTCTGTAGACGAATCACTCATTAACTGCGCAATAATGTGATTCCGCTGCTTTGATTACTCACACGACAATTACTCTTCTCATCCAACTCAGAAAGAGATCAAATTTTTTTTCCAGATGAACGGGCACATGTTCAGACAATTGTATTCCAGCAGAATCTTTTCTTATATTCAATTTGGGAGCTTATTAGGGTCACTAAAATATGAGAGTGTAAGAAGAAAATGTTTTACCGTCTCGAGATGCGTCATCTACGATCCCTGTGCAATTGTTACGACATCTAAAAATTTGTACGGTCGATATCATAAGAGGCCAAGGCATGAATCATAGTGCGCCCGTGTTCACAACCCTTACGCTGACTCCAAAAAGAAAAAGCGCTTAGTTATCACCACAGCGTCGATCAAATATCCAATCGCCCAATGTTGTTTTGTCTTCAATGGAGTTAGTTATCACCACCTCAACAACATTATTATTGTAAACATGCATTAGCATCCACCACATTTTGCCGGAAGCCGTATAACAGAGTGCACATTGCGAGCGGGCACTGAATCACTCCTGAGTCAGGGTGAACTATGGGGCGGCCACGGCTGCTGCAAAAAAGTTCATCCGCCAGTGACAGCGTGCCCTACCCAAAGCGCTTCCAATTTGACTGTCTGAAACCTAAGAACACATTTTAATAGCATGAGCTTTGTTTGAAAACGAAGCGGAATACTGCTTTAGAAAAGCACTGTTCGGCCTGGTTTCTCATCACGCAAAAAAAAATATTGAAAAGAAAGCTTCACAAACAAAAAGAGAAGCTGTGTTGAGGGCGAAAGCCCAATACATGAGATACTTCAGCTGTTTTTACAAAAGTAAATGTTTTTTAACGCTCATGTTACTGAGGTCGATCTGGTTTATCGCACTACGATTAATAGTAGTCTAGTCGTTCTCGGTTAAGCTAAAAATCTTACCACTACATCAGGTTACTCTTGTCAAAAACGAGGCTTAAATATTCCACTTCATGATTAAATTTCGTGAATTGCTTGCCAAGACCTTTTTTTTGCCCAGTTAGGATCGTGCCGAATTGTAAATAGGCAAATGAAAGGCTACTCTCACAAGAACTTGTCGAAACTGATGGGAATTTCTTCGCAGTACTGCCCAAAACTGGTGCTCTCACATAACCAGAACTGCCGTAGCGGTGCATGCTGCTAATATTGGCATAAACAGCAGTACATGAATAATGATGAAGCGCTGTTTTCCTACAATCATCACGTTTGTAAGATTGTTCCTTATGTATCTTAGTAGCATACTGACTCGGAACAAACTTTCTGCACGTGAGCCGGTTATTGGCTACGAAAACAAAATCCTAAGCTTTGCAGAGAAGTGCACGTGAACAGCAAGAGTCGTGATCAATACCTATATTTAACAACTATGAACTAGAGGAGGGATTGTATTGCAGAGTCACCTGTTTCACATTGTTGTGGGCCTGCAGTGAATCAGTAAGATTTGATTGAAGTCCTTATTGAGTACTTGACAAGAATTCACGAAAATGCGTAGCGAACGAAAGAAACAAACGAAGCACAAACAAATAAAAAACAAGAAAACGACATTCTCAATCAGCTGAAATTTGGAAATGAAATCTCAATGAATTTTCGTAGACGGATTTCAACCGATAATACAAACATATCTCTGTTGAAGATCTCTATCACCTGATCAGCGCTTCGATATAAATTTACCATTAGCTTAAGCAAGCAAAACGACTTTATGTAAGCCCTTCAAAAGAAACTTTCATTACGCATGCGACTGAGTTAATGACTATGAGCATCAAACTTTCTAACGGAATTATAGCAGACACAAGACAAGCAGCTGAGGAGAGATCGGGTAGCACATGCTTACACTGTAAAGTTCATTCGGTGTCAGATTATGAGCAGTACACACAATCGTCGCCACTACTGTAAGGCACTGATCATCCAAACCCTTTTTGAGGAAAGTAAGAAACCGAAACCGGAGTGTAATATAAGCTACTGCTCATAAATCAGAATGCCACGTGAAATCCATTTTCACCACACGTCTCAGCAGAATTTGTTAGATTTGACTGTATTCCAAACAAGCCAGGTATTAGCCAAATCGTACCCTTACTTGACGCCAACTAAGTTTTCTTGTCGATAAGCACTCTGTTTTATTCGACCTTGAAGTTAATCACCACTATAATAATAGTTACATGTAGCATGAGGAAGCACACTGGAAGATGTGAAGATGGTCTCGATTCCTTCGCATTTACCGCTAGAGAACGAGTAAGCTCAAATAAGAGAATTTTGAATGGGTTCTGCAAGAAATCGTTGTATCGCCCCAACCAAGTTTTTCAAAAAGGTAGGAGGTGGTTGACTTTTTTGGAAAACGAGCATGCGAGCACACGCTAGTAACGTCTCTCATCATGGTCGTGGTTGATCATGATTAGATTTCTGTTCCAATGCTCATGAAAGCGGAATAACTATTCGTTTTACAAGATAACGACTAATTCGCAGAATGCTTAGTCTCGACCCAAACTGGAGACGACGAGACCCAAACTTTCATACCCATTCCTTGCTCGCGCTCCAGTTCCTGACACTACCTAAAGCTCCCTTGCCTACGCCTTTTTAATGGCATTTCAACCATAGCCTAACGGCATCTAGGGCTACAAAGCGTTTAGCGAATACTAGAAGGAAACGAATCTTTAAAACAGCAGTTATACCGAGGACAATAGAAAGCCGTCCATGGAAATTACAATACGTTGTGTTTCAAGAGGCAATTACAGTCCGTACTGCTATTGCACGATGATCCAAATGGACGGTAACAACAATGTAAGCGAGAGCAACACTGATGACTATTTCAACCTACGCGCTCTCAAAGGTGGGTAGGAGTGCAAAACTCTCTCACGAGAAAATAGGCGGAAATTAGTTTTAGGAACAATAGGGACGCTAAAGGATATTAAACAAGCTTGATAAAAAATATGCTTACCGTCACTAACAGGGGCGTCGTCATCGCCGATTTCAACACCGAGATCGTCCTCTTCTACTTCTGATCCGGACACCGATACCTCGTCTTCACTATCACTCTGAGATCAGTGCGAGATAACAAAATGTCGGAAAACTTCAATGTTGCAAACTTGCCATTGTAGTCTCTTTGCAATGCGTCAAAGCGGCAAAGAATAGTAGAATATAAAGTAGTGGTGAAACCAGATAGTGTACGAATAAATGAACTCTTGCAGTAATAAAGATGCAATACCTACAACTAAAAGATGCTTTGAATAAAAGCCATTGAATCATTCACACCATCCCGTATTCTCAATGCAGCACATTCATAATACCCTCCACGACACGAAAACGAATATAGCCACTCGCGAAATTATGACAATTTCAAGATGTCAGCTAAACTTGAAACCTTTACCCTTACTCCTAGCACCTGAAAGTGGACAGCAGTGAAGCCAACACCTTTGGAGTAAAAAAAGAACAGCTATAGAGCTCTGCATATAGCAAGTGATCAGATAAAAATTTCCAGAAGTTCTAAGAAGTCGTTGCGTAACCGAATGGCAAAACAGATGACGCTTGAATTTTGTCACCAAGTTACGGTAGCTGTGTAGGTACGCAATACATTTACACTCGCATAACTGCGCTAGAGCTTCTTTGGTGAAGGTATCGGAAATCATTAAGGTATTCTTAGAGAATGATTAGTCGAATCCCTAGTGGAATAAGCATAAGGATAAATCTGTTAGCTTTAATCAATCCCGTCTGAGGGATGCGCCCCCACACTCGACTTCCATTCAAGATCGTGGTGGCGTAATGAGGGCGTTTGTGGCCTAAACAATGACTTGCGGTGGCCAGCCGATGTACAATTCAGTGCTTCTATCCTCCCAGGCGAGTCTGGTACCAACCAGACCCCGGAGAGATGGAAGGTTTGGTTGGCCTAGGCGGGTGCCGATCCGGAATCTCCTGACCGTGCGTGTGAGATGGTGCGCCACTTGCCACTACACCACCTCTGCCCTCTTATCCTCCTAGTGGGATACTAGTGGAAATTTGGCCTCTTCAGTATTGGGTAGGAGATTTGTTTTGTGCACGCAGTTCGTATTCTACTTTGTTCGGGGTGTGCCAGCACTCAATTACTGTAACCTCGGAAGGAGAAGGAATTCTTTCAGATGCTGAGCTCATTACTCTTCAATGACTGGTCATGATTGCAAGGTAGATCTCTGGCACAGGCGCTTTTGGGGCAAGCTTAGCTTCGCAACCTCGTAATCGAAATTTCTCATTCAGTTGTAAGGGTGATCCAGTGCGTTCATAGTCACTCTGATCCCTTCGCTCATAACCGCCCAATAGGTCTATAAGCCTCGCTTTGTGAGGTTTCAGAAATGGGAGAACCAGAGGCTGTTACTTGGGGTAAGTACCTCAGCGGCCACCATTTGCTAATAGAGGGTTTTTCTTGCTAGGAGAGATCCCCTTCACCGTAGAGAAGGTGAAGGTCCCAGAAGACGTTTCTCAGCCTTTATGGTCTCCATAGTTGAGCACCTCTTCTAGAACAGGTCCATTCATTTACTTTCAGTGAATCGCGCAGTCCGAACTGCCAACTCCGTTGCAGTGCGTGGTTTTGGGGGGGGGGAACGATTAAAGGGCGTTATCACATCTACAGCAGCAGACCATATTGCACCATCGGTCTAACCCTTAACTGTAACTCGCCCAAGGTATTTTTCGATTCGTCGCATATGTTACGAGTGTTTGCAGGCGTTGTATAGCCCGAATGATGGGGCAGCCCCTTGTATTTTGTTGTTTGAGGAGTGTCCTCCGTTTTTTAATGTCAGCTATCCATAGAAATTTCTCCAAGAACAACAAATCCGTTCGTTAGACATTGTATATTCCATTTTGCTTTGTAATGGTCGGGCTGTTTTCTAGAAGTTTCGCTACCCCTTTCCGTAGCAGGTTCCAAACGTAGGAACAAAACTTTTAGGTGCATCTGCAGTCCTCCGAAAAATCAAAAGTTCTTTACGAAAATATTCCTGCACAGATTTGAACAAATGATAATCTGGTAGTACTATATCTGAATTATAGAGGGATGCGATCAGACCTCTCATCCAAACCCCGGTGATTAATGGTCGAGGCTACGTACGGTCTGGCCTAGCCTTGAGGGAAGGCCACACCTTCACGGTTCGCTGATTTTGGGCGCTTCTATTCTACCCCTGCCTTCAATCTGTCTGGCTAAATACGGCATCTTTTAGAACTGATCGTTTGGTTGTGCTATGATAGCTCGTAATAGATAACTCCTTCGCACTCTTACCGGCGACAGAGCATAAACTTTAACGCAGGATTTCGCCTCCAGGAGATCACAGTGTTGGTTCAGTGGGATTACTCCACGATCGTTTCCACCCTACGTTGTTGTGCACAGACCATTTCTCTTTTCTGCTTACCATGCCTTTCACGAAATGCAGATTTTCGCAAAGTTCTGGCGAAGAGTCGCACCAGAAACGCAGTCCAACGAGCTCCGCTCTCTCTGTTTGTGAAGCACCCGATTCAAAGCGGCTACCGGCTTAGTTTCTTCGAATGGTCGTGAATAGTCGAATTCGGCAAGATGATTTTTTCGTCTATTCCACAGTTGTGCCAGATTCGTTTTTGATTGAAATTTCAATTCATCTCACATGCTTGGCGTCAATTTGGATTGGATGATTATCGTCCGTGGATGGTCTTCGTACCATGGCCGATCTTTGAAGGGTAATTTTACGCTTTCTGAATCCTATAAATTACTCCCGCACGGTGCACTCTGATAGGGTATTGTGTCCGCAGATATCACAGACATTTTTGGCCGTTTGAGCTTCTCTTTTGCTTTCTCGGTATAAGAAAAGCTTCAGGTATCGTATGCTCTCGAAGCTGCTCCTAGAATTCAAGGAATACTAATATACTCAGACTGAAATGTTATGTAATGTTTGCATTTTCAGATAATGTATATTTTCTTAAGGTTATATCGGAGACTTCTATAGGAGGGTTGGTGAACCTATTGCATGCAAAATCGGCAGAAACTTTGCAAATCCTCTGGATTGAAGCAGTAGAGCTTCTACGAAGATCCGCATTGTTCGCCGCCAACGTCTGTAGGTGATTTCTCAAGAGGACCGGATACATACGACAGAAAACCGATGCGTATGTAATTCATCATCCGAGTTTCCAGAGCCGAGAAATGCCTAATTTTGTAATCGCGAATACTGTGGTGATGGGACTCTGAGAAATGCATTCTTTGACCCCACGAAGCCCCTTTCTCGATCAATTAGGTCATTATTCTCATGATCGATATCTTCCCTGCCCTATTGACATAAGAACAATTTGGACGAGGGTCAGGAGGTGTCGTTGCGGACACTAGCACAACCTTGTTGTGTAAAGGCCGCTAGCGATGGCCACAAACTTATTCATCTACGATGCCTTCACTTCCAAGTTCATCACGCAAATGAACATTGGCCCAATCCAAACTTCAAAAGCGTAATTATGTAGAATCACGGCATAAATTCCAAATTTTATGCAAAAAGGGCTCCACACATGGTTTACAACGAGCGCTCAGCAATTTTACCGATCGTAAGTGCCCGGCTGAGTTATTACTGTGAAGGTGAATCACAACTACTCAGCTACGGAAAAATTTCTATGGTCCGCAGCCTACTTCGAAACTTTTGTAGATATATTTTATCCGAAACAAACCGAAGAAGAAAATCACTACGGCATCCTCTGAGCTCATCTTTGGTCTTGGCCATTTCATTTGTAAGTGATCGAACACAAACGATAGCCATGGTGGCGAAGAAATGCATGGCATACGTCTTCCAGTTCCTTGTTTACACAATTCAATAGGAATCTTTCCCCTTTCGTTGCTGCCCAACATCAAAAATTTGCGATAGGCAGGTGCCCCTATGATTCCCAAAGGGCGAAGTGTAGCATGGAGAAAAGAATGAGACCAGTATTCAAGAAACACATATAAGATTGGAGAAAATCTTCCACTCTGATTCACTCGGAGTCACAGCTTATGGGCTGTACACTATGAACAATTAGTAGCAGTCCTACAATGCCACAAGTTGAATTCCGCAGTCCGAGGTTTCTGCGATTCAGAAAAGTAGAAGGGGCACTAGAGGCACTGTGATGAAAACCCATAACGTAAGCTACCCGAATCATGAACGATATCAGGAGGTGCTGCGCAGCCTAAGGGCTGTTAAGTGAGTAGCCTTCGTTTCCTAATGCTTTTACTTCGCAGTTTCATAAATTCCTCGTGAATAGACATAGAATCTAGGAACAGTTCATCTAGTACTGAAGAAGTCTCCAAGGGTCAAAACGCTGTTTAGTTGTTGATAACTACTTGCATGTCCCATGGGCCAAGCAAACAACCAAGTTGCTCTGTTAGTCGAAAAGCCAGATCCCTCAAGTATTTATCACGTTTTCTGAACTGTTCCGTAATTCTTTTTCTTATCTGTTTGAATGAATCCCATAGTCGGATATGGGGACGACGGGGAGAGGAGACAGGGACAGGAGAGAGGGAGGAGGAGGAGGGGGGGGGGGGGGGGGGGGGGGGGGGGGGGGGGGGAGACAGGTGACAGAAGAAAATGGGAGGATCGAATTCTGCGTCGATTCTGGAGTTCCCAAACAGTATATGGGTTGTACAATTGCCTGCAAGACCATTACGACTCCTTTTTTATCATATTCTAGGGCCTCGATCATACTTAGGACTGAAGAACAAGCACCCATAAAGTTAATGGATTTTTTCACAACGCAGGATAGTCTGTTTTTATTCAGTTCATTAGATCCATCGGCTCATGAATCGATTAATAAATGCGATAAAGCATCGTTCACACCGGACATTGCTGAGTCACCCAGCTCTTACTCACGTCCCCTCTGCCCACATCGCGTTACGTGGGCCGTCCTTCTCCACCTTGGGTCTTATCAATCTGCAGCGCTTGTATATTTGCCGTGAGCACAGTACAGCCAAGAGTACAGCCAAGTCACCCAGCTGTAGCTATTCATGCTTCTTCTCATACTCACCGTTGGCGTCATTCACGTCGTTCTATCCAATTCGATCATAAGCTCAACTTTTGATGACTACACTCCGGAAACGTTCCCTGATTCCATCGAGCAGCCCATAGCTTGCAGTATGCGTGTGGCAAGCTTCCTCTGCGATCCGAGTGAAGTTCTGAATGAGGAAAATATTACTGCTAACCGTGAGTTCGCCAACTTTTTAAAACTACGCATTTCATCTTCACCGCAACTCGCTTCAGCTGCCTAACTCAAAGTTTTATTTCGACATCAGCTTTATCTACTCTTTAGACTATTTGGGAATCACTTAGTGATACAGTAGTGCTCAAAAGTATTCGGCCAACTTTAACTTGCCATAACTTTTTTCCCAGTGGAGCAAATCGCATGAAATTTTGATAAACTTAGCTGAAGCATATTTTACACTGTCCAACACTACTTGACTGCAGTACAGCCATATCCACATACTGATGGGGAGGCTTTTGTAGATTGTGCTGAAAGCAAGTTTATTATGTCTGCAGCTATTCGGACCTTGTGTACGTTTTTCTTCTCTTCTGGGTTCGACATTAGTGCTCGTACACTTGAGACATGACAAAAAGGAAAGGATTCCTAGAAGGACCATGTTTCGTATTTCCAGTTGATTTTTTGTTCAAGCTCTTTGGGATATCTGGAACAGGATTAGATTGCAGGTTAGTAGTGGTAAATATTCACACTACACCAATGCTACACATATTGAAATTTCGCAAGATTAGATCCAGTAGGAAAGGAGTTATGACTGAAAAGTACGAGTGAAGAAGCATTTGGCCGAAAACTTTCGAGCGCTACTGTATAATCGACTGGTAATACCATGGTGTAGGTGACTTCCGTTATTGGAGAGGAAGAGAATTCAAGAAGCTTGTACTGGTCCCAATTATTGCTGAGAAATAAAAATATTTCCATTTGCTGCTTCCTGTTTAGTTTCTCTCGCAAATCGAGAGGCTTACAATTCCTACGTGCACCATGAGATCCTACAGTTTAGTGGAGCAAACGGAGACGGTGCGAGGTAGTTGAATGCGTAAATACTCATACCGCAAGTTTTATGAAGGCTACTCGGTTTCTTTGAGTAAAAGTAACTATCCGAGATACTATAACTAAGTAACTATCCAATGTTCAGCGTATACGAGTTTTGTCTCGCAAAGTAGATGTAATCGGTACAATATGTGAACCTCTACACTTTAATGGGCTCGGGAGTATATTTCGTCAAAATGAAAAAAATTGACAATAAACTCGCATAATGGTCCTAGGCTACACATAGTGGAGGACTACCTAAAGCAACTATTTGATCGATGATGAGCAGAGCTCTTGCAAATGGGTCGAAATAACGGTATTTGAAGTGTTCTGAATTTTGTTTTCCATTCTCATGCGCAGATACGCACCCTAGACGGTAAATGTTTGGGATCTCAATGATTCTCGGGAAACCTCCCGTTCATCGTTTTAGCTATGTTATTTTCCAGTTTCTTCAATTCTTACTGTTTTTCACTTTAAAATCTCCCGATCCTGACTCTGGCGCACAGACACACGGGACTATTCCACAAGCTGCGAATATGGCTGAGCTGCTCACCTCGCTCAGGTGCGGTTTCCGCGTAATCGAAAGTGTCCGAAGGTTGACCAGCGATAAAAATAGGTGGAAAATAGAACGGATCCCAAGTTATCGCAGCAGAACAGTCTGCGTATCGATAAGTGCCAATTTTCTAGAGATCGACATCTCAATGTTCGTCAGAAAATGAAGTGGTGAACTCGTGTAGGGTCGTTTGACGGCCTTATCGCCGCCATCATCTTTCAGACAGACATTTCCTACTGACTCACTAGCATTAACTGCCGCAGGGTTCCCATTACTAGGAAGGGGAGGGGAACAAACCTTTGAACTTTTCTTTTTCTGCAAACTTTTGAAAATCCTATTTTCAAAAAATATCACGGCGATTTGGTGACTAACACTGTGATTCATGCCAGAAGCCGCCGGGCCGGACCCCCAACCACTACGCTGGCTCTTCTCCCTCTCGTACTGAAACAAGTCTCCCTATTCATATCAAATTTTGATTTTTTGGTACGGAGGATTAGGAGTTACGGAGTTCCGGCCAGACCATACATACACACAGACACACACAGAGTATTTACCCAATGTTGGCGCTATGCGTTGTTAGAAGGGAAAGATGAACGCATAAGGTAGAGCTGAAGAGTTCGAGCGAGGAAGATCTCTTTGCACCATTTCACCTGTGATTGAACAGAATATGCCCAAATTCCAGAATGAGATGAAATTCTACGGCTAGGACCATTATGTAGCAAATCACGTGGCGCCGAACCAATAAAAATCGAACATCAAGCTATGACTGGCCCCTTAAAAGAGAAGAAAGGCAGGGTGATAAGAAATCAACAAGCTTTCGTCGTAAATTTCTATGAAGGTCAAAAAACGGCCTTCCACAGGACGATAAATTCATCTGAATTCCGCTTGTTCGACATGCATATTTACCTGCGACCTGCAGCCATTCTGTGTATGTCGGTGTTGAGGGTTTCTTTTAGTCAGTGTAAATGCGCTATCGAGAGTTTTGTGCTTTTCGATGCGCGCTGCAACTGCTTTAGCGCCAGGTATGTCAACTCTGAGATCTCAATTCCCTGAGAAAGGGTCAGGCAGCCCAGACCAGCCTACTATTTCGCATACGCGGCATATCTACGCTGCTAAGGAATTTCGTTTGGATGGTCTATAGAGTGCTATACATAAGAACAACCGACAGATCCTTGTAAAAATGCAAACCGAAAAACTTGACAGATTGGCTGAGCTGCACCTTGACATATTTGAAATACTTCTTAGATGTTTCATGGAGAATTAGACATGGGTCTTCTGTCCCAATAGAAGACCAAGGCACAGTTCGTGAAAGATTTATTTGCCATGCACAAATCCAGTTCATCTACGCGATCATTTGCAGATTGCTGTCTCACTAAAGGGCATGGAATACCATTCCTGGTAGTACTATTATATGAATATATTTATTCGAATGACCCTTGTTCTTACTGGGATACCAAAATTTGCGTTTCGAACTGGCGCCTAAGAATGTTTGCTTACGTTCGCTTGTCAAACAAATCTAATCAACAAACATTGAATGATAGGGCAAACCTCACCAGGTCTTCTGAAGGTTGAAACGATATGGTGAATGAATGTCAACCTTCTGTTCCAGAAACTCCATGGCTGTTGTGCAGGTAGAATCAGAGCTTGGACTCTCTGATAAACTTTTTGAAGGGCTTCAAGGTATTCTTTTGTTGAAAGATAAGTCTAATGGAGGCATTTGTAGTGGCAGAGTGTGAAGTGATAGGTCCCTTCAGTGATCCTTACTCAAGTTTAATGGGAAAGAGACCGGTCATCGTTCTTCAAAACATAAAACAGCAATAGCAAAGCAAAGTTATAGAAGGTGAACAAGACCTGTAGGTTAAAGGAGCAATGGTTCACGATTGACTGTTGGGTATATCACTGAGCGATTTTTTCTGATGAAAAATCGAATCCAAACTGGGTTCCTCTTGACAATCCTTAAATTAATTATAAGTCTTTTCATTGGTGCCTATAGAATGCATCTTTGCTACAAGTATTCTTTATTACTTATACATAATCGAAAATTCAATCAATAAAAGCAAACACCTTCCAATGCAGATAATATGGTGTGAAAATGGAGCCTTTGAGGATAAACACTCATTCAAAAAATTAACTGGCTTGTTTATAATACCATTCAATGGAATGAATCTGTGTCCAAATCTATGTATGATCCGTCTAGTAAACACTAGAGGATAAGTTTCATTAGTGTTTGCTAAGCGGGTAATACATAGATTTTATTCAAAATTCTGAACTGACCATTTTTTATTTGTAAGCTTCAAAACAAAAAATGAAGGAGGAGTAATCGACGTTGGTAAAACACTCTGAACTGCATCACACATTGGACCTGAGTCCAGCTTTATTGCAGCTAAGGGTAAGTGCTTGGCCTCCTTGACGCTGAACCCATCCGTTCGAAATGAAAATTGTAGGTAGAAACTCATTCCGTGAATCATGTGATTTAAAAGCGCTATGCACTACTAAGACCCTTTAGCTATACAATCGCCAGCATCAAAATGAAAAACTCGAAATTGTGGCAAAAAAGAACTAAATAGAGTCTACTGAAAAGCAATGAGTTGGGTGTGTTTTTTGCTTTTTGCACTTTGAACCTTACACTTTTTGAAATATTTCAAAACTACGATAATTCCAGACCTTCGACTTTCCAAGTCACTGATCGAAGTACGTGAATTGACTAAATGCACATGTTCGCCAATGGACGTCGGCGAATGCGATGATTCTCCGAGAGGCTTCACAATATCTGCGGCAGTTGTAAAGAAAATGGTACTGCTCGATGATCAGAGGTGAGCGAATTCTTATTCATCGAATGATAGCTGTAGAGCTCGAAAAGTTCCCCTGTGCTATTGTAGAATGGGCCGTGCACTTCAAATGCTTGCAAGGTAGCGAAGGCATTTGAAAGCGCCCAAAGCGAAACAAGTCGCGGGGCCAACGGCCTGACAAGTGCTTCTGCTTGTTGGGACATTTCTAAATAAACACGTTAAAGACCTTAGCCTCCTTCACATGATGCAGTATCTCACAGAGCTGATGCAATGGCATTTGCCGTCCAAGGAAATCTCCTTCCCCGTAAACACTAACAAGATGCTATTCATGTTGTGGCATCAAAATGGCGATTGAAAACAGGCGGTAATTGCGTATCGGTAACCGGCTTGACTGTATTTTTTTAGGTGAATGTGGACACTAGACGAAATGTTCGGTTTTAGTACAACGCTCAGTACAGCACTAACGAAATGCGACAAATTTTTATTGGCCGGTGAAATATAACATATCAAACCACAAAGGAAAATAAAATAATGGTGATGAGAGGAGATTGATAGGGGGATCCGTGCCACAGTGTAGGCTTCCCACTATCCCATCATTATAGAGGGATGAAACTAGAGCTGAATGTGTCTTCAGAACAGGTGTCTCACTGCTGTTGGCGTTGCGCTACCGGTCAAAACAGGAGATGGACTATTAATCGACTCAGTTCCCAGCTAAAATCAAAAACAAAACGTTTACAAGTGTTCGAAGATATACACAGTCATAACTTTATACGAGAAAAGTAATTGGGAAGGTGTTGAGGTGGTAGACAATAAGCGTGTGATATGTGAGGAGGGCCGGTTCCAAAGCGGTTTAGTTTTGGCATGAGGCCTGGCAGCAATTCCTCTCGTGGCAACCACAGCTAAAGATGTATGTATGTATCAGCTTGAGCTTACAGTCATTCAGGATAACATATGACAAGAACGAAACTACGGCAGTGAAGCCATAACCAACAGGGGAGGTATCATGTGTATGATATAGAATGAGGCATGGGCTTCGTTTATCTTCGAGAGGATAATTGTAAGAGTGGAAATAGTGTTTTTCCGCATTCACGAATATCAACTATTGGGTTGTAACATAAGTTCGTAGAGTTTTGTGCTATTGTCATTTTACAACGATTCGCTTTGTTTTTTCGCGAAGTGTATATATTCATTCGAAAGGGCTCTTTCTGCTCTATAAAACAGTTTTATTCGTTTTTTGGATAATCTAGTTGTACGTCTTTTTTCTGGCTCAGAATTGGAATATCCAGGAGGAGAAAATCAGCATTTTCGACATCTGCTTTTCATCGAGGTCAATAAGCAGCCGAAGCCGCTCGGGACATATGCAGTGTGTACGAGGAAGGTGTCTTAGGTGTGTCTCTTAGTGGTCCCAGGAGAGACAAAGAAGCCGAGAGTCAAGCAAGACCTTCACTCAAAAAAGTCCATGATTTGCGTTTGGTGAGACTGGAAAGGCATGGTGCACTGGGAAATGCTCGAATGGAACACTACTCTCACCAAGGAGGTCTACATTGCCCAGCTAAACCGTGTTAGTAAGGCTATTCGATCGAAGAGACCCGATAGACTAGGTCAAGTCATCTTGCTCCACGACAACGCCAGGCTCCATAATGCCCAAGTCGTCAAAACAGCACTCCAAAAGCTTGAATGAAAGGTTCTTCAGCATCCACCGTACTCTCCGGATCTTCCACCTACCGACTACCACGTTTCCACTCTCTGTTAAACCAAATGAGGAGTGTTACCTTCGATGGCGAAGAGTTTCTTAAAAACTGGCTCAACAACTTCTTCAACACCAGACCGGCCGATTTGTGGCGAAACGGCATCAACAAATTGGTCGAGAGATTGGAGGAGGTCGCAAACAGTAATAGGAGGATACATCATTGTTAATTTATTATTATTATTATTGTTTTTTGTTAAAATAAATCTTTGTGAAAAAACTCTACGAACTTATGTTACAACCTAATACTAGAGCAGAGGCCTCTTTTTTTCGAAGCATCCAACGCCGGTTTTGCATTTTCCTTCAATGTACAGTAGCTTATTGTAGCTCATCCTCATTTCTGAAGACCAATGATAAATCAGGTTATCGCTGAATAAGCCTTGCAAAGATTTTTCCTATCATTCGCTTGCGACGAAAGAACAAAATTATGTTGGAACTGGCCCCAAAAATGTAGAGATTCACTGTGAGCTTTGTTCAGAAATCCTGCTATGGCACAACTAGCAGCGGAAACGTTTGCGGAAACCCTCCGGCAACGTCAAAATCGTGGTCAATGCGACGACGATGTCCTGATCTTTGTATCTGCTCTTGATGAAGTGGTCAGTTCCTAGAGTCAAACACAGTCGTTTTCGTTTATTGGATCATTTGCAGTAAACCTGAGTTATCTGGAAATGTATTGTCATAGAAAAGCCATATAACCTACAGCATTTCATAGGTTTGGACTTCGCTTGGATCGGTGACGAAACGATACCTTAGCGATGATGCAGTGAAAGCCATCACATCGAGAGCAGGTCATATTGTTTACACAATTATACTGCTTAGGCATTTTAAAAAGTTTTTGTTGATTAAACTTGGAAATCTCTCGAATGCTGTATTTTAATTGGCTGCAAGGCAGACACAGCGACAAAATATGTATAAATACTCTCGATCAGATTAGCACTCCTTTTCTAAAGCAATTTTTAACGGTATAATTTATTACTTTATACTACCGTCTCTTAGAGTTATTATGGGTCAGTAAGTAGTTCATGTTCACCGCGAGCAGCGGTGTGGCATCGGTCAGGTCCTAAGGTAAGGCAGGAGAATTGCGCATATAAGCCCAGATAACGGACCATTTCTTTAGAGTAGTGTACACAATCTGAGCTATAAAAAGGGACCTTTCTGTGGCAGCTTACGCGTTGGTATTCTCAGATGCTACCAGCTCTATCTTGCCTTTCTATAGGTGCAGATGGGTTTCCGATGAGCTCCCAAAGTTTCCAGCCCTTAGAAATGTTAGCTTTGCTACTAAACTTGTGCAAGAATGCAAGACCACTGGACTGCTCACAAGTTAGCCTCTCAATATGCCATATCAGGCGCTAAGTGCGCATTCATGATGCCGCCACGCTTTTGAATGGAAGTCGACCACGGCATGCATCCTCATAAGTTCTTAATGCTTCAACACTTTTGAACCCAGAAGGCTAAGAAATGAACGCAATAAGACTGGAAGAATACCTAAAAGTATTCCCCGGCAGCGATAACGAAACACTTGGAAAAGAACGAGGTATGAAGGCCAAAGTTCGCACAGCACTTTACCTAGTATAAGCCAGCCAAACTGCCAAACCCGCCCGGACAAAATGGGAAATTCCGGACTAGATGCAGATCAAAGTCTCATATCGGAGCCACAACTCTTGCGTGTTGACAATATATATAGAACTCTAATGCTGCGATAGACAGAAAGATATTCGACCGAGGAATACCGAGAAATATGTCTACTTTGTTATTTGCCCTTCACTTTCGTCTGAAAGTGAGAAATGAGCTTGTAGGCATCCCTTTCTGTTCCAGAGTCACACTTTAAAAATGGCGACTTCACCGGCGGGTTACAGTACATGATCGATTCATATACAACACTTCTTCGAGGTCTTCCACTCGATCTAAGCAATGGTGAGCAAAGGCACATTTGCCGTTTTTTGGCGAATTTTGAAAAGGTTCTTGTTGTCAAGAGAAGTGGTGATAGGGATTTTTATGCCGTTCGTTTTTCTCCCGGATCTCCAATGAGGGACGGGAGCCTATATATGTACCTTGTAGCTACTCGCCAAGGAACCATTTTTGTCCATCAAATGTCTTAGATGTACTAGTTTTCAGGTTGGGAACTACCTATACCAATGTGGTCGGTGATCGCAATCAGTGCCTTGCTGGTTATTCTTCTGCTGACGTTTGTGGCGTTTATGCTTTATCGTTGCATAATATATTGCAAAGGTGATCGTCGTGCTGAATACACCATGGGCACACGAATGTAGTGAAATAGTCATACATGACTGTCATGTTACTATTTATAGCTGTTATCATCGATTCCTTGGCCTGTCAAGATCTCTATTCCGCTAGCCATTTTTCACTCGGTGGTTGAGATTGTCTTAGCTGAACTACTAGTTTTCAATACTTAGCTGAGTTAATGGCTGTGCATGATTACAATCCTCCTTCAATACTACAAAATACGACAGAACTTAGTAGTTAGAATGAACATCTCTCATTTTGACAACTTGCTCGCTGCTGCTACTCAGTTGAAATTTCTTCAATTACGCTAGGATCATAACACACAATGTAAGAAAGGCTCGAAACAATTGACTAAAGGTTGGTGGAATATGCTAGATTACAACTTTATGGGAAACTCGGCTATGCTGGTGCTCAATAGGTAGCGATATCGAATACGATCCGAGGTATAGGACGTAACAAGACAGCTAACGGAGACAGCCAGCGTGCTCGCGAGAGTTTCGAGAATTCGTGTATTTTGGGCTTCCTTCGAGAGTCGGGCAACTGGATCGGTCAGGTGCAGCGATCTCAGAACATTTCACTCTTTTTCATTACCCCATTACAACGGCTTTTCACTGAGATAATGAAAATCCATGTGTGAGCTGCCAATCGATGTGTCGCCCTCACTGTCAGCATCGATATGAATTGGTAAGAAAGGAGGCATTTCTTGAGTACACTGAGCAAACAGTTTTGGATTAAGGGGAGAATCAGATTGGATTGAAGAAGTAGAAACAAGTTTTTGGTATGCAGCAAGCACGATGTCAACGTTAGACAATCATTAAGGATATCTGCTATGTTGCCTAGGTATTTTTTTGCTTGAATTTTTGCATTGACTTGTTCAAATTAATGTGACATAATTATTCAAAAGCATTTAAAGTCTTTCGATTACCCTTGTATAGTTTCATTGGGTCATAAACCATGCTTTTGTGGTATGAGATGATTTGTATAATATACCTCTAGGGTTTTAAATGTGGCATTTGTGGAATCCCAGATGCTCTATTTGAAAAGTACATTCGTAGCATATCATCAGCCCTCCTGTCATGTTGCTTCATACAGTATTCATGTACGCCTTCCAAAAGCAGTACTTGCATTGGAATTCTTCAGTATATCCCATGTTCTCCAACGATTTCCAGAACGACTCGTGCAAATGGAAATTTAAGAGGATAAGTTGAAGTAAACAGCACAGGACCTTAAAATGGTATTTTTCAAATTTACCTCTCATAGTGTCACTGATCTGGTTCGAAGTCATCACGCCAGAGTGAAGACATCTAGAGAAATTCGAAAATCTGGAATCACGTAAGCCAAATCTAAATCAAATCATCAAAATTGGAAATCAAGACAAATCCATGTGCTTCTCGATCTTTGTCAAAAATCAGTTTCAGGGTGAATTATTGAAGTTGCGTACATCCATAGTCCTAGCTAAGCGGTTTTATGCCTTGAAAATATGGAGATCTTTCATAGTAAAACAGCTCGCTTAAATGGCATACTCTCAAGTCTACGGTAATATTTCATTATGCAACAACGAAAACGATAAACGGTTCAGGGGGTGGAGATAGGAATTCTGTAGGCGATTTAAACACAGGTGAGATTATATTTCGTTATTGATCTGAAACCTTGGTGAGCGAACACTTTGGTGAAGTAGCCACCTTCATTACTCCAATCCATTGGCGGCCACCACATCGTGCTCCTGTAGTATTTATATTATTTATCAAGTGTCAATAATTTTGTTTCATGTTTTTAAGTATCACCTGAGCTCACAGCCTTCTAGAGAATCTTGAAGCATTGTGGTTCATTCCCAACTATAGTTATAAGAGAAAGTAAATTTTAATGTAAGTGCAATATAAAAGGCGCGGTCGCCAATGGGCCAATGTACTGAGTTACACAGTTCGGTTCCTAAGAATGTTGATTACTATGGCCAGTCGCTGCAGCAAGCATTATAACAAAGGGGACTTGGTTCCGAGTGAGGGAGAACTTAACGTGTTTGTGAAAGGACGGTGATAAAAAATGCCGAAATTTTTACCGAGTAGACTCAGTCGAGGATGATATTTTCATTTGATTTAATATTCATAATATACGCCATATAAGACAGCGTTGGGAAGAATTTGATTAACATTTACGACGCAGAATAAAGTTTTATTGTGATTTTCTTCCGCAATATTGTCTATGGTATGGAACCCAGTGATTCTGTGATTATGGGAGTTCTATCACTCAAGATATTGGAAGCATCTAGAGATCAGATTCTCATTTATTTCGGAATTCTGAATTGTAGGGCTTGGTACTGTGAGTAATTACAGCACTAATGGTAGTAATGCAATGAAAGTTTGCCTAATTGTAAGTGGAGTAGTACGCACTTTCTCATACGCAGATCACTGGCCCCTCGGTCCTCGAGACTTAGACTAATTGGTAAGACTTTGGTAAGAGGGCGATTCAGCCGTCTATCATCTCTGGCTCAACGGCGAGTCGGAAAACAATTTAGCCGTCTATCGTCAGAGTGCCTCTGCTCGAAGCCATCAGGTTGTGGATTGAGGACCGGTCATCCACCGGGGCGGTCAGCTGCGAATATATTGAATAGGCAGTCGCGAATAAAGCAGCTATAGGACAAGAGGGCTGCCAACCTAAATGGGCTACTGCAGAAGAGAACGGCAAAAACTTCGAAAATGGTATGATTTGGACCCGAGATGATCGTGCGAGGATGCCCCGGCTCTACACAACAGGCCCACACCTCGGCGTAAGGCAGGGGTGGAATAAGGACCAGAGACGCATCAGAATACACATCGCTTCCCACAACGTCAGGACATTATCGACGGACTCTTTCCTAGGCATATATCTGCAACAGCTGGAGAAGATCGACATTGCTGGTGTTTGCGAAACTAGGAGAGCACGCGCAGTCTTAGCGAAGTGATCGAGCGGTGAAGAAATACTCCTAGAAAAAGGAGCTGATAATATGTCCGGAACAGGTGGATTCGGTTTCATCGTAAAAGCCAAGATGGCCCAGTATATTATTTCTTGCGATATTCAGGCCCCACGGGTTGCGGTTCTGAAGATCAAGTTGCAAAAGCTAGGGAGCCGAACGCTCAAATCCGTGCAAGTATACGCGCTCACTGCACCAGCAGAGGACGACGAACTTGAGCGTTTTCACGAGGAGATAGAGAGGGCTTTGAAGCTCAAATCGACGTACACTGTTGTTCAAGGCGATTTCAACGCCGTAGCCGGCTTCCGATTGGACGGTACGGAAACCTTCTAGGAAGTTACGGCGTAGGAGTAAGAAATGGCAGAGGAAAGCGTTCAATCGAGTTTGCAGAGCAACCCGAATTCTCAATAACGAGCAACTTCTTCGAGGGAAAAGCCAAGCGTCTTTGAACATGGAGAAGCCCGGACAGGAAAACTTTAAGATAGATTGATGATGTGCTTACCTAAACCAAGATTGTTCGCTGACGTCTTCGTTATTGGGGAAAGTGTGATTGCGACCGGCTCCGATCACCGACTTCTACGCTTGGTGATCCTCTGCGATGTCAGAAAAGAAAATCGAGCTTTTCATCCGCAAAAACACTCACACGGAGTACTTTCATTGCCGACATGTTGCAGATGAATGCGTCGTCTGACCTACAGATGAATACTACATAGTAACAGCAGATGATGCTGACTACGAAGACCTAGTAGAGAAAATAACGCAGGCTGTGAAGGCATCGAGCACAGCAACAGATCCAGCAAGACGAAGGCATATATCGAAGTAGTGCAAATGTTGAAGAAGAGAGCGCGCATGAAAAGCGAAAGAAGAGTGCAAACCGCAACTCTGCGAAGCGATAAGAAAGAAGATGAAATGCGACTATGAAGGCTACAGGCAAAAGAAACACCGCGAAGCAGTTGGGAAATGCATTAGCCTGAAGAGCGTAGAAAAAGTTGCTTGCCTCAGGCACCACATACCATCTGCTTTCAAGGAAAATACAGGTGTCAGGACAACTAACCGCCTTCAGATGAAGAAATATGTACTGCGTTCTTGTACTCCTCAGAAGCGGTCGTCGCAAGAGCCATTTAAACCACTGCAGAAGAACCGATCCCAGGTGTCATATGGGAAGAAGTGGAGAATGCAGTAAAACAGATTAAGGCGGAGAAAAGCCCGGGTTGCGACAACATGCGTCTCGAACACCTGAAAGCGGTTGGATTACCTCTCTCTAAAGTGCTGGCCCAGCGCTTTAGCAGATACTCCAGTCAGGATAGGATTCCGTATTCCACATGACCACCTGCACGTCGTACGTCAGCTTACCGGAAAATATGGAGTGTACCGGATTCCCCCATGTATGGCGTTTGCCGGCTACAGAAAACCATTCGGCTCGGTCGAAACAAACGCTATACTGTATGGACGAGCAGATAGGTACTAATTCGTGCAATGTCGCCCCTCTCGAAGAACTGAACAGTGGCTACAGGAATAAAGCTCTTCAACGATCCGTGTCAAATAAAAATGTGCAAGGGCGTACGAGAAGGAGATACCATTTATCCAAAATTGTTTGCACTAACATTGGAAGCCCTATTCAATGATCTTGACTGGACCGGAGACATGGAGATCATGGAGAGCACCTGACCTATCTGCTTCGTACACCAGCTCAGCTTCTTAAGAGGCACGACCGGAGAACAGCAGGCGCAGAAAAGCAGCTTGATCTAGCTACAACAAATTCTCAACGTTTTTGTTAGACGAAGACCTCCCGATGAAAGTGAAATCGTCCTTGTTTCACTCGACGGTGATACCCGCGATGTTGTATGGCGCAGAATGCTGGTCGAAGGCAGACGAGGAGAAATTTGCTGTGATGCAAATGGAACGCAGAATTTGCAAAATGTAGTTACGTGAACATATCACAGACAGATTGCGAAGACGAAGTGGCCTTGTTGATGTTGTCCAGGGAATGTATAAACGTAAACGAGAATGGGCTGGTCATTGAAAGACAACCGATGGACCTTCCGGCTAACGAATTGGGTCACATTGAATCACAAGCGA